AGAGATGTTTTGATTCAGGTAAATAGCTAATAAACCCAATCTGATGAACTTTAATCCTCAGAGCTCTAAAAAGGCAACAGTCTAGACAGATGAATAAAAAAGTCACTTAAATGACTTCAGGAAGAGATTCAAAACTACTGTGGCAGTCATGTTCCATACAATTTAGGATTTTGTCCAAGTTACTTTTAGCATAGATATTTCACAAAGTCTAATTTCAAGAAGTCTCACAGATCCAGTTGGTTGGAAAAGCTACAAGCAGAAAGTATAGTGAGGAGCCCAGGACCACATCTTAGAGAGACACCAACATTCAACATCTTTTTCAAATTCGGTTTTAACATCAATATGAACAAAATAATGTATGTTTAACATAGTCTCCATCAGTTTGAAGGTTGCAAAGCAAATCAGAGTAAGAATCATCCTTTTTGAATTACATAAAGGTGATTATAAAAATGATTGATGTGTTGTAAAGCAGAAAAAAATGGAAATTTGGAGGAACTGAAATCAATAAAGCTAACAATGGACAAACTTGTAAAAATGATGTCTTGTTGCTGTGGGGGGAAATGGCTTGTTCCTACTATGTGTCAGTGAATTTAGTGGCACATGCAGTTTTTCTGCTAGTGTAAGCTAGATGTCAACAGTCAGAAAGTTATGTTATCTGCTCCTTAGGGATTGTAATGCAATAACAGAATGTAAATTCACAGGCAAACAGCCATGGAGGCTATGCAATAATGCAAGCATGAGTAACTCAGATGCTGAATTCAGCAGTGGATATCGTTACTGAAACTATGATGCCGCATGTGGTGAAAAAGAAACGTAAAGAAAGAGCAGAGGGATCCAAAAGAAGCAAAGGCAGAAAGCAAGAAGGAAAGCAGAAATAGGGAAAGCCAACTCCACACACAACTAAAGACAGAAACCATCTGTGTACAATACAAGCGCCAACCATGCAAGAATTTTAGAAACTGAGCGAAGGGTGAATTAAAAGTGATAATAATGGATGAGTACTTACTCTGTAATGCTCTGAACCGTGATATTTCCCCCCCATCCTCCTTACCCACAGCCCTCATTTGCTTGCTGATGGCTTGGCAGATTTCTTTGCCGGCTGCAATTTGCGCTTTCTCTCCAAGTAAGCCCCCCAGGGTGGCGCGTAGCATGAAGGACACACAGCGGCGTGAGTACACAGCCTCAACATGTGTCTGCGTGGCCCGTGGGTGAGACACTAGGTCCAGAACGTGGGACAGGAATGTGGCAAAGTTGCGCTCCAGCCACTGACCGCCAAGTGTAGTCACAAACACAACATAGGCCTGAGGAAGATGGAGGCAAGATCATGTGTGAAGTGGTTGAATCAGATACCAAGAGTCTAAGCCAGCACAAAGTTTGAGAATTCACCTCACCTGTGTGACGCCCACCCGCACCTCCCTGCTGACAGAGCCTCCCCCCTTCAACATCTCCCCTCCGCTCTTCAGGAAGCCAGATCCACCACGCAGAAAGCCTGTGGCCATCAGCTCCAGCACCTCCTCCAGAGTGGCCCGCTTCACATTCTGACGCATCACTGAGGAAAAAAGCATTGAGATCATGAAGATCAAAAGCGGTGAGCTAGTAAAATAAACTACACAAATCAACTCTTTAGCCTACCAGCTGCTTGTTTGGGTATCAGGGCAGTGGCCATGACTGTCCCCAGCAGTTTGGCCACTGCTACCCGAACACCATAGTTAGATCCTTCCAAGGCTTTGTAACACAACGTTGCCACGTTCTCCAGTTCTGTGGTCCACATGAATACTGCCTCATTCTGCAGCTCCAACAGGCACTGATTAAGCAAGAACAATAAACATGGAGTCTTGTTACTAGCATCTAGATTATGCATATAAAGGAAACAACTCCTTTGTTACAGACAATAATGCACACAAACAATGTTGTGAAGGATTTTTCCTTTCTTTAAGGGTATTATCACAATAGGGTAATTAGCTGTGCTAAAATAAGCCAAAGGTGACAGCTTGTGACTCTCCAGTACAATGACTAAAACCGTCTTTTCTTTCATTGTGTTTAGTTGACTGACACAGCTGCCTTGATAAGGCCGAACTGTGATCCATCTCACTGGTAACCCAAGGTCAAGATCATCTTTATATTGTTTCAGGCAAACAGACTGACTGACTCTCTTTAGAAAGCATTGCATGTAACTAGAATAACACACTGTGGCCTCGGTTAACTTAGGTATATCAATATCAAATAGAATCTTCACACATGTATAGATGGGTGAACAGTAACCTTATTTGGACACATAGTGACTCTCTGTAGGTCTAGGAAGGATAAATACTCCCCATCAGGATGCATCCTCCAGATTGGGTTTGTTACTACACTGTGTTCTCACTCTGTGCTCAGTCTACCCGGCCAGGCTTCAATAAATCTATATTATATGAATGCTTGGTTTATACATCTCGTTGCAATTGGCCACAAAACTTGTACCAATTATAGTATACTTGTCACGTCAACAGAAAATTGTCTTTCACAATAGGGAGGAGACTTGTGCAACAGTTCAGTCAACATAAATGACAAAGCAAAAACATGTGCATCAGTGGTATTTGTTTTTCTGATGGTGGAAAGTGCTCCTACTGATATGCCTTTGCTTCACTTATCTCCTACAGTGAAAAGAAATCAAATTGTTGCATCAACAATGATCACAAGAAATCATCTTGTCACTTTATCTTTGAGACAGGAGCAGGACGTTAAGTCTAGAATAATGGATGATTCCCAAAAAAAGAGATTAAGAAAAGAAATGGGAGAAAAGGCTTGAACATTACACTATGGGAGTATCAGTTCAGTATCAGGGACCTTCACAAATATTCAGGAGGATGGGACATAATAATAATGTTTCCTTTTGTTTGACCACACCCACTAAATCTAATATACTTTTGTAAATTCCTTCACAGCTATATTAGACATTTTTCTGAGACCAACCTTTGCTACCGCACAGCGTACAGCCATGGACCTGTCAGTGAGTAGAGAGCGGGCATTCTTGTAGATATCTCTGTGACACGAAGCTGCAGCTCCACCCAGTCCACTGAGCACCTTCTGCAGGCTGAGAAGGATTTCTCCTCTGCCTTGGGACTAGAGTAACAAAGATAAAGGTGAAACCAGGAGGATTAAAATAAATGTAAAATCTAATTCTGAGTAATATATCTCTTTAGTTATCCATTGCAGTTCCTATATTATATACAATTTGACTTACTACATTCTGGCTATAAGACAAGAGAAAACTGCATTCCATTTCACAATTTTGTACTTTAAAAGCCATACCTCTGCACTCTTTAGTGCCTTCAAAAGATTATTTATGGTGTCTGGAAAGGAGCTTCCCAGCATCCTGCCCATCTTCTCATAAAAAGCTCCAACACATGCCACTGCAGCACTGCAAGAAAAGTTATTGTATGCATTAAAATTAAAGTATACATAATAGTTCACTTTAAATTATTTAACTAACAATGCAGTGTAATGACCAGATAAGAACTCCTCACATAAGTCTCCTCTTGAAAACATTCAGACTGGCTTTTAGCAAGAAACAGAACATAATATCTGCTTATTTACATGTAACCCCCCCCCCCCTCCTTTTAAATATGAAATGGTATTCTGCAGATTAACATTTGGCTTAACTGCTAATACTCTTGAAGATGGGCCTACAGCAAGTCCCTGAACCACTGAAAACACTACTGAACAGGTTATATCTTAATGCAAATATGTATTAAAATGACTGTATTCAAAACATAGCCAACGAAAATACACACTGCTGAAATTAAACAGGATCTTACAGTTTTGTTGGCAAGTAAGCAGGTGTGTCATCCTTGCTTTTGATGATCTCGTTACATTTATCCAGAGTCTGGAAAACAGTGAAGGTGTCGCCGATGCTGTAGAGAGTAGCAAGGTTTTTGGCCAGCAGTTTTCTTGTTGGTGGGCCAGGGGCACTGCTGATCAGTCCTGTCAGCTGTTCCACCAGCTTCTTCTGCTTCTCCTTCACATCCACCTGCCAATTCAAACACACTACAGTCACAAACTGATTCTAATAAAAACCCACTTCTGGTGAAAACAATGCCAGAATCTGAATAGTCACCCTATTTGCTGCCACAAGCACTTTATCCAAGAAGCGGAGCCATTCGAAGACAAAGACAGGCCTCTTTGCTTCAGTGATCTGGGCCAAGGCATCTTCATTGAGCAGCAGACTGTGAGCCAGCTCCATGGCGAGGACCTTTTAACACAGTGCTGAACGCCCTCGCCTCTGCAATGTTATATCAGGGGGTGCACTTTGTAGTAGCCCTTTCATCCAATCAGATTATCAACAAGAAATAATTGTAAGAGCACTTGAGAAAGATATGTGGACATGTAACTTATCGCCCTTGTAATGACTTAAATAACGTTAGGTTTGTGCAAGAGACACACGTACTTTAAATTATAGCAGCGGTAATTGCTTTAGGTGCGTAATCATCGTATAAAATGTAACGTTAGCAAAGTAAAATGTCAAGGCCGTGTAGCGTTCACACTTTGCTGTCCCGTGTTGACAGCTGTCTGCCTCCAGCTGTTGATAGGCGAGCTGGTTAGCAGCCTAAGCTAGCTAACGTTGGTTCCTACACGGAACAAGCTAAACTCGGGTTACACACTCTCACCTAAACTGTGCGGTATCTATCTATCGTCATATTTTAAAGCACCAAGCTGTTTATAAACACCTAAGCGACAACACCGTCCTGAAACTGAGGGATATATTTAACCAAATGGTTCATCCTACCTGTGTTCCGATAACCCCAGGATGAATGACGACAAGTGTTGGAGGTGTCGCATTAAAGTGTGCCCGATGTGAAACCAAGGAAATAATATGCTAAACAAAAAACATAATTGACAATAATTGTTTCACATTCCCCTTTTCTCTGTCTCTGTGCACTCGAAGTAAATACATACCTTATTTTAAATAATTTGTCAGAAGCATCGGAACTGTATACTAATCGCGCACCTTGTTGCTACTCGGAATATCTCTTTGAACGAACTAAACATCAGTGAAGAAAATACAAACGGTCAACCGGGTAATTAATTCAGGCAGTAGCGGGTCTTTTCAACATTTATTTTGTCTTTTGCGCGGCTGTAATGTCTGATGAGGAAGAGGATTATATGTCCGATGCATTTCTCACTAAAATGTAAGCGTTTTGTGTTTCTACTGTTATTGTGAAATAGCCTAAAATAGGTTTTCGTATTGAAACCTCAGGGTAACTTTAGTGATATTTTTACATTGGGAACCATGGTGTATGTTAACTTATTGCCCTGTGGTGTCAGTGCTATAAAATTAAAGTTAATTATGGGATTTTCAGAAATTTAAGTTGTGAAAATACAGAAGTGGGACTTTACAGTCATTGCTATCACTGCTTATTGTTATTGTCTTATTCCAGTAACGTTCTCTATGTTCTTCTGTTTGTCAGACAAGATGTGAAACCAGGTGTCAGCATGGTGAGGCGGGTAAAAGAAGCTATGAAAAAGGAGACACAGCAAAAGGAGACGAACATCAGGAACCGCCAGAAGACTTTCAAGGAGCAGGAGAAAGAAAGTAGAGAAGCAGCTTTACAAAACTCCATTAGCAACGAGAACAAGGGATTTGCACTTCTGCAGAAAATGGGTTACAAAGCTGGCCAAGGCCTTGGGAAGAAAGGCAAGTTTCTTCTTTACTGATTTATCTTGTTTTCTGTTTTGCATTTGTTGCCTGTATTAATGTACATCTCTGTTACCTCTTCAGGGGCAGGGAGGGTTGATCCAATTCCTCTAAATATCAAAACTGGTAGGCAGTACATTTTAAAAATTTAAATGTATTTGGCAATCCAACGGATGGCTTGTAGAATTAATGTGCAATCTTTGTTTGCTGCTATATCAGACAGAGGTGGCATTGGAATGGAGGAGGTGAAGAAAAGAAAAGCTGAGGAGGAACTTGAACATTATCGGCAGAAAGTACGAGCCAAACAACAGAATGAGACAAAATCTCTGGAAGATTTTAGGTGAAGTTTGCTGTATATGAGATGCACTATGCCTCTTTGTCAATTCCTAAATACAAATGTTTCATATTCTGTGTTTGTGTGTGTCGTCTTGTGCCCTTTCATTCCAGGTCAAGAGTAAGGACAGAGAGAGAGGAGCGAAAGATTGAAGGAGATCTCAGAAGGAGTCAGAGAGCCTGTGAGCAGCTTGACAGTCAGAAGGTTGTGAGAATTATAGCTATAGCACAGGCTCATCAGTACATCGCAGTAATAATGCTGTTTTAGGAATTATTTGGCTGAATTGTGTTTTCAGGGCATCACTGTCCCCAGGGAAGACTGGTACTGGCCTAAAGCAGAGACTGATGATGAGGAAGATGGTCTTGAGGAGGAGGAGGAGGAGGAGGAGGAGGAGGAGGAGGAAGGGAAGGAGGAGATTGTGGAATTAACGGTTAGTATTTAATTTACCTTGATAATTCAGTGATATAATATGTAATCCTAATATATGAGTCCAAATCAGTTTTGTTGTCAAATAAATGTATGCTTAAAGTATGTATACTTGTTGCTGACATAACTGGCACATTCTGCATGTGTATAATATTTACTTAATATACTGGCATTTGCTGTGATAAATTTGTCTTGTTGTTTTCAAAAGTTTTTTTGAAATGTTACTCTGTTACAGTCCTTTGACAAACTGCAAATTATGACATCCTATTTGAGAGGAATCCATTTTTACTGCATATGGTGTGGGACTACTTATAACGGTAAGAGTGGTGACAGCATGGTTGTAGTTTTATTGTTGTTTTTTTAGCCTTTGCCTATTTACTATATATATCTATATAATTTTTTGGGTTTTTTTTAAACAGATGAAGAGGACTTGTGCTCTAACTGTCCCGGGGATACAGCAGCAGACCACGAATGAATTTATAGAATAAGTTTCCAAAAACAAGCAGTAAGAAAGGACACCTTTTAATATTTATATTTTGAAAAGATTTTTGAGACATGTTTCAAGAGCAATTGCATACCTTCCATACCTTTTGATAATTTTTTTTCAGAATTATAACTTGTTATCTAATCTATTGTTTTATTTTCGCTACTTATATTACAATACATTGCTTTTAGTTAACAAAATGTAAAATGTCATACTCCCTAACTCTCTAATCTGTATGTTGTGCTCAGTTGTGAGTATATATGGGTGAGAAATTATTTTTATTATTTCAATATCTTATGGTGTTACCACTGATTACATTACTGTTACCTAAAATTGTATTTCTTTCAGTTGTGTCTCTGAAGTGCTGAAACATGATATAAAGTTGGACAGTACTGTGTGTATGACTGATTTAATGAGACACAAATAAGACAGAAGTGTGATTAACAGTAAACTACTACAGCTTTTTGACATTTTATTTGATTTTAGAGAACTTTATACTGTACAAAACGTGTCCATATCAGGGGTACATACACAAAGCAAAGAAAAAATGTACAAGAAGAACAAAACGAAATTAGGAGAGAAAAGCTAATTCAAAATATTGTATCATAGATCCATAAGACATTTATCTTTAAGTGAAGAGGCTAAATTATAGATGAAAATAAGAAATTAAATAAATGCACAAAATTGTGAAAAATTTATTAAAAAAGTAATTATGAAGTTGGTGGAATTTTTTCAAACTTGATGGTTTGGACCAAGTGGACTGAGTACATTGAACCTATGAGGCCTGAGTTAAGCTGACTTGATTAAATAAGTGAGATGATTTATAATGATCATCATTGATTCATATATTCATTTTCTTTTTCCCTCCCCTTGCAACCCTTTAAATATCTAAGGTGAAAATCTGATACTTTGCAGAGGAACATTAAGAGGGCAAGATGGAGGCTCATAAATATTCAAGTCCCAGATGAGATTATTCATGACCTTGCAGATTGTCATTTAGGAGATCCAAGCATCGGCTTTCATGCACTAATTCTAAACAACAAGGTATGGTTTTGTGGTGATGGAGCATGTTAAGCCCTTTGTTGAGGACAGAATAGGTTTCAGTTTATCACCACTAAATGCATTTTTGTACAACAAATTTCTGAAAATGTTTAAATTGAAAAACAATATGTAGATTTTTTTTATTGAAATCATGTCATGTGGTTTCACAATTGCAAAGATGGCTGATATGCTACTTGTATGTATAAAGTAAGTTTAAAAAATATGTAAAAAGTTGTATTTGAGTTGGTAGACCAACAGTTTGAGTCCAATTCGGAACGGCACAGGGTGTTTGATACATTTTAATTTGGCTTTTGTACACTGAAACAACTCTCCTTGTCTCAAATGATATTTTAATGGCTGCAGATGCTGGAGATTGTTCAGTTTTGGTTTTATTGGATCTCTGTGTCTGCAGTGGATGTCAGTCAGTAGATAAACTTGTGTCAGACACTGGTGCTCTACCATGTAGTGTCCCCCAGGGAATCAGACTTGCTGCCACTACTTCAGATTATCAGTAGTTTTAGCAACAGCTCCTATCATTTGCATGTTGATGACATCCAATTATATTTTTCATTTAAACCTGAAGAGTCTCATAATCTTTCTTAACTGAATAACTGTTCAAATGCAGTAAGGGACTGGATGGCACATCATTTTACAGTTAAATGCAGATAAAACGTAAGTCGATTGTTGCTCCTGATAACTTTCACTCAACGATCAGGCAGAATCCTGGTGCCTTATCCTCATCGTCTTGGTCTAGTCTGTATAATTGTCACAAACTGGCTTAGTGAATGTGACAAAGAGGGAGCCCACACAAGGTACTCAGTTAAAACAAGTATAATATATTGAGCGTAAAGAAGATGGCACAGCATGGATGTAACCTGCAGGACGGAAAAGACTGAACTGAATATTATTCTATATATATTATAATTTTATTGCCCATGGGCCCAGGTGAGCACAATTGCCCGCTGAGGTTGGCAAGACAACCTCCAAACAGCATGAGGAGCGTCACAGTAATCTTGGTGTGAATTTTGACCAGTCCGTGAATTTCGATTCTCACATTAGGACTCTTACAGACAAAGTTACTGTATGTCTGTTGTGTCAAGAAATGTATTGGAGATGCTTTTATCTACCATAATAAATCTTTCTTCAAAATGCTGCTCTCACGTTCCAACAGATGGTCACATGTTATTCATACTTTAACCTCTCTGCACTGGCTTCCTGTTAATTTTACAATTCATTTTAAACTTCTGGTGCTCAAATATAGAGTCCTAAATGTCCACAATATATCATGGACTTTCTGCTCCCCCACACCATGAGCTGAGCTCTTAGGTCCACTACACATGGTTTTCTAAGTGTACCTTGGACAACTTTTAAAACTCAGGGAGATTGTGCTTTCCATTTGGAAGCTCCCAAGCTTTAGAATAGTCTCCCAATAAGCTTGAGGTATTTGGACATTGTGGACACTTCATCTGTGAAGCACTTTGTGACTGGTGTCTGTGAAAGGTGTGATATAAATAAACTTTCGTTACCATTAGAAGGTCATTTGTAATTTTCACCAGTGCTGTCTCTGTGCTATGATGTACGCTACATCCTGACTTCAACAGAAATGACAGAAAAAACATAACTTTTGTACATCTTCAGACAACAAAACAGCATGTTAACATGTTGAAAACTGATAAGCACACCGACAACATTAACATAATAGTGTTGATTGAGTGAAAAGGAATTTGTCCAAATAAAGGTAATGGCAAGCTCCCCCAAGCCATGAACTAGGTGCCGTTTTTATAGAACACAACACTTAAGAGTTAGTCAACACTCAGTACTAAGTTGATCATATGAGCAAAGTGCATTTTGACCAGATTTCAACACCGCACAACCACACTGTGATATTAGTGGGGAGAGAGAGTCCCCTGCTGGATGTCTGTGGTTATAATTCCCAATTACATTGCAGTCAAGTTTTGAACTTTCATTTCTTATACAAAAATGTTTTTATTACCTCACCGCATTGATGTGGTTACCTGCATTCTCAGTAGCTGAGAAGTTAAGTTGTTCTTTCAAAGTTAAATTGTAAGTTTTAAGAACTAAATACATAAAATCCCCAAATTTAATAGGCTACTGTTTTTTTATGACATATATTAACAGAAAATGTGCAGTAAGAAAAAAAATCTTCATCTGAGACTGGATGAAAACACACATGGTCTGTTGTGCACCTTCTGGATGGGAATGAGAAAACTGTTGAGGATGTAGAGTACAGTGGCTATCAGTACTTGAGGTAACTATTTCTTTTGCCCCTCAAACTGATTTTAGGGGCATTCAAACTCTGAAATCTTGCGTAATTATTAGACGAATTTATATTGTAAAATAAACACTCAATTTGCGGCACAAAGTTTTGATTTATTTTTAAAATAACAGAAAACTCAAGCAACATTCAAGAGCACTTTTGCTACAACCTCATTTCTGACGTGGTGCTGCCACACAGCTGTTTTTTTCCCTCTGAGCAGGGAATTGTAAGGGTGTGAGGGTGAGTGGGGAGCAGAATGTTCACACAGCCGTTCATTTGTTATGCTTAATTCTCACAAAAAGTGGTTTTCTGCCTTTTTCTAAATTTTCGAAGTGACCGACCACTCTAAAATGTCATGTCCAATTGACAACATGTCCAATTGATTCAATGTGCATTTAGTTTATAGTCGGGAATAATTATTGTAAAAGTATTTTTGCAACATCTGTCCCATAGCCTACTACGTCAAATGATGTGTTTTTACAGCACCTCGAGTCCTAGAAAGAAAGCCATAAACATGCTGGTAAACAAGCTTGATTTTCCCTGACATTTTTTTTACTTTTAAGGGCCATAGTTAACATGTTTTATACTTCCTGCGAAAATACTACGCAAATACCATGCATTTCCTGATATTTGGTATAATTTGTATAAACACATTATTTTGAAAACCGGACGTAGTCACACGTGTATCCTTGCGCGAAGTCCGAAGCAATTTCATAAATTATATTGTCTCGTTTGTGCTCGCCACGCGTACAGTTTAAATGTCATAGTCTTTCTTCAGGTAAGACTTTCATGCTACAGCGCTTGCATTTGGAAATTGACAGTGAGAATTGTGACAGAATAAAGCCGCTAACTCTGCCGTCAGCTCGCTCAGGGCTGTTTCAATACATTTACCATAATGGTCGGAATACGTGTGCACTCCAAATGACGGCTCGCCACCAGACCGCAGTTCATAACAAGGCAGAGCACCACCGATAAACGCATAACAGTTGCTGGCCAAAACTAACAGCTTCGATTTGACAGTATACTAAGCTAACACGTTACCAGTTTGACATCTTAACGAGGCGTTAGCTCCCGCTTGGTTGATGTTTGCTTAACTGTTTCTGATATAATTTGAAGGTGCCATGTTGTGTGACGTTTACCGAGAAAACGAAACCTAACAGCGGGTGAGGCTGAATGGAAGCTGGGCCCAGACGTTCAAAGACATGGAAGCAGAGTTGAGATGAAAATGGAAAACATGTCAATTGCACTTTGTTCTCTTATTTGCTTTTAATTTTAGTTGACATTCCGACCGTTGAGTACGTTTATAATGGAAACGGTAAACTACGTAGCTAAACTAAACGAGTATGCACAGAGAACACGCACGGACCTGATATTCGAGGACGTTGGATCTGTTGGCCCTGACCACATTAAAACGTGAGTTGAATCATTTCACTGATGGGATTTACGACCTGCAAAGTCATGCGTTACTGTTGGATTTCAAGAGATTTTAATAGCATAGACCCTTATGGAATAGGAGGATAGTATTTTCCCATGGTTTTTGTTTGCAGACAAATCATAAAGTAGGTGTCCCCAGGTGTATGTTTATCAGTGCTTTCTCAGTGTTTCCACTCATTAACGCACTTTGTCAGGTGTTACCACATTTAAACCACACATGCACTTAACGTAACGATGTAACATCAAGTTAACATACCTTCAACATTGAGTTGATGCATTACTCATTGTTTTCTGTATGGAAGACTCCTGTGGAAAAAAGCAGTAGGAAAATGTAGAATAAATCAATAATAACTTCACCTCCTAGGGATGTTAATAAAGTATGCAGATTCATGTTTTTGTAATGCAACCTCCATCACACCTTGCTTCATCTTGCCTGTTGAACAATGTTTTATCATAATTTGGTCTCAGATTCACTCTTAGAGCAGTCCTAAATGGTAAGGTGTATCCTGATGGTGTGGGGAGGAGCAAGAAGGAAGCCAGACAGAATGCAGCTAAAAATGCCCTGAAAAGCTTGGAGGAGGAACCACTTTACTCTGTAAGACTATTATACCACTTTATTGACTTTGGCTGTGGATTTTTATATTCTAAAGTATAGAAGTTCAGTTAACACGCGTCCATGTCATACATTTGTCATTTTCACAGACAGAAAATGCAACAGAAGTGTCTCCTGCACCAGTTCATCAGACCAGTGTCCGTAACATCAACTATATATGCTGGCTCAATGAATATGGCCAGAAAAAGAAGGTGACTATAAGGGCTGTGGAGTCAACAAGACTGGGTCCAAATATCGGCACTCAGTAAGTCTCACGCTACATCCAAGTTCTTATTTAGTTGTTTACTTGCAATTTAAAAATGTGACAAATAAAGTTTGTATAATGTTAGATGCTGTAGCTTTGTGGTTGGTGATAAGGAGTATCCACCTGCCTACGGGAAAACAAAGAGGGAAGCCAAGGAGGAAGCAGCCAAGCTTGTATATTATGATATACATGAAACGACATGTGGCAGTAAAACTACAGAGGTAAGAAGTAATACACACTGGTTTCTCATGGCTTAATAAAAGTCCTAGAAAGTGCAGAGGGATTTTTCAAATGTTACACAAGCTGCTCTCTGATCAGAGAATCATAATAAAACCATGCTTTTTTTGTTTTAAAGACTGGCAAGGAGAAATACAGCATTGCAGTGTTAAGCCAACCAGAGCAAGAATTGAAACAAAATGTGTCAGACATCTGGTAAGCGCAAACAGTGGCAACACATCGTTTCTGTTTAATTGTGTTTGGTTATGAAATGTTCTGACATTTTTTTGGGTTTTACAGTGATAAGACCAAGAGATTGAGCGTGAGATCAACAGACGAAGGTTTTACAGATACAAATTTCGTAGGACTTGTCAACCATTACTGTCAGGCCACAAAGCGCTCCCAGGATTACGTCCTAGTGAATAGATGCGGTCCACCACATAACACACAGTGAGTATGACTCTGTAACCTGAATAAACACTATAGACACTCTAAGAAAACTGTTGATTGACGCTGATTTATAAACAATATCAAAATGTTAACACAATGATCCACATATTTCCTCTCTTTAAAAACCCAAAGATTTTTCTACAAGTTGGTGATCAACGATAAGGACTACCCTGTGGGTGAGGGTAAGAGCATCAAGGAAGCCAAACAAAATGCAGCTCGGTTGGCGTGGTCTGCTCTTCAAGAGCAATCAGACTGGAACAGCAAGGTATTTGATATTTTCTGTTGTTTTGATATGATAAAATAAAATGTGATTATTATTTATATGCCACCTTGTAAATTTTGAGTAGGGTCATTGCATACTTTTCCTGTACCTTTTACAAACTATAGCCACCACAGCTTACCTTCCTTAAAAACCCCTTACTATAAAACATGCAAGACCAGTAAATATTCTTTTTTCTGTAACCACCATGTCGACTGAAAATGTTTTTACAATTTGTGTCACACATCACAATAATTGTTCAAATCTGGCTTCAAGTATACAGCAGAAATAGCCCTCAACCATATCATTTTAACCATTTATTCTGAATTCAGAACCAAGATGAGCATTACAGTTACTACACATTCTGTCTATTATTAATGTAATTTTGTGTACCACTATATTTAGCATGATTGTGCATGCAAACACATTCACAGCGCAGTGATTGATGATAATGATGTTCACCTTGTTTTTGCTTCCAAATATGCGGTGTAGATGATTGGGTTAAAGCAGTGGTTGTCAAACTTTTTCTGTTATATCCCCCTTTAGAAGCCGAAAAAGTGGATTTCATTTTTGTCAATTTTGTCAATTGAAATAAAACAAAAGATGCAGGTTAGCAAAATAGCATTGCTTGCATGAGAGCCCTTTTTTTTGTTTGTGTCACCACATCATCATGTTCATACAACTTTAGCTCTGCTCAACATCCACCCCCTCAATAATTTTTAAATAATGTTTAACCACATGAAAAATACATACATTTACATTGACTGCATTGTTGTTGTAAGCAGTGGTAGCAGCAGATTACAAGACAAGGCTCTTTTAAACCTCTGTGGTTTAACATCATAACTCATGAAACAGTAAAATACCACATCAATGTTATGCTAACACTTATGTTGCACCTCATGCCAGAGAGCATCAGTTACTAAAAAAAACATGGTACTATGTAACAGCCAAACACTTCCTTTGTGCTTCCAGTTGTCTTTCTTGTCAGCTGTGTCTGATGCTTCACCAGCCAGGCTGTCCACACCACCAAGCATACCGTAAGGCACTGACTGAGGAGTACAACACATAATAAAGTCTGATGTTGAGAATATTACTAATTTGTTACATTGTATTCACAAAGGGACAGAAAATCCGAATGCGTGCCAGCTACTACAGGTGACTCAGTGGTTTTCACCAATTCATCAAATCCTCCCAAAGATCAGGTCTGTTATTTCCTATGTAATCCTTTAATACTGTCATGGCTTACTAGTTTGTAATGCTCAGTTTGTTGCAGAAGTTACATTGAGTTGCTTTCATTTACCTCTTAGGTTAAGCCAGTTTTATTTAACTGACCTTGATTACTCCGATACATTACCAGAATGCTTTGTAGTAATTCCTGGGAGTGACACATGTATTTGATGAGCGCAAACAAGTAAGCAATAATATTACAAGATCAAGAGTGTGTCAGTAATTCCAGAGAAGTTATTCTAGTTCTCAGCACACATCTTAATTAAATCACATTTTGGGCATTGCACTGAGAAGTACTGGAAGACTTTAGGACTCTTTCCCTTTCATATAATGGATTTTAAATGTATGTATGCTTTAATTTGATTTGCTATATTATCTTACTCCCCATTACAAAGATTCAAAGTCCTGATGTGAAGCCCAAAATAAGGTAAGCCGTCTTTTGAGACCCACTGTAAAGCTACAGTACTTCACCTGATTTATAATTATTCTTGTGTTGTCAGAATTGCAGCAAATTTCCCAAACGCCAAACGAAACAGCAAAGAGGTAAAGTAAGGAGATATTTATCATGCTAGTTTATCTTGTTGGTTTTTGTTTAACATTTAAACTCTATATCATGACTTTTGTTATTCATTAAGGACATAATGCCTAATTTCAATGGCAAGAATCCAGTAAATATTCAGAGTGGAAAAACGACAAACAAGTCAGTGATCTCCAGGTATGGAATATGAAAACATTGAATACCTTCTTTAAGCACTGCCCTGGCCTTTTAGTTTGTGGTCTGTTAATTCATATTCTATCAGAAAGACTTTTTTACATTCATAAAAATTCATATATGGATAGTGACCTTTATACCTTGTTCATCTCAGCAGGTTTACATCAGAATATGACTCTATAGTGTGCCTTGGCAAAGGAGCCTTTGGTCATGTTTTCAAGGCAAAGCAAAAACTCCTTCAAAGGAATTATGCTATAAAGATTGTCCGCTGCAAAGAGTAAGTCACGGGTGAATAAGTTATAGATGTCATGGTAAATCAGTGGAAATGTCCATTATCTGAACCATGTTCTTGTTCTCCTTTGGAATAGGAAATCACTACGAGAGGTGATGGCGTTATCAGACCTGCAGCACTGCAACATTGTTCGATACTACACCTGTTGGTTGGAGGATTCAGGATACGAAAGGGACAGCGCAGCTGACAGTTGCAGCAGTTCGCAGTAAGAGACACTTGTTTCTTACAGTTCTTTACTTCTTTACTTAACACAAAGGTATGCCATTTCACGGTTTCTCTGTTCTTATTTTCTAGGTCGACTGATAATTCATCTGTAAAGTACCTCTATATTCAGATGGAGTTGTGTGACACCAAAACGCTTAGAGTGTGGATAGATGAGAAGAATATTCAGAATGTAAAGAAATCTCTGCGAAACACCAAGAGAAGAGAAGAAAGTCTAACCATTGCTCAGCAAATAGTCAGTGGGGTCGAATACATCCACTCCAAGATGCTCATCCACAGAGACCTGAAGGTGAGACCAAGTGAATAAGGTCATTTATTACCTCACATCAATCAGGAAGCTACATGTTTGTTTATGTCTTTCCTGTGGTTAGCCTGCCAACATCATGTTTGGACTGGATGGGGAAGTGAAGATTGGAGACTTTGGCCTGGTCACTGCTGAGAATGACGATGCTGAGAACGTGATCGAGAGAACTGTGTACAAAGGAACCCCATCTTACATGGCTCCTGAGCAAGTGAGATGGTCTATGCTGACAGTAACTTTAGATTCTTCTGTATTGTTAACTATTCATTGTCAGAGGGAGACATTAGAGGAGATTTGAACCACTACTAGGATTTCATTTGTGGTGTTAACAGCATTTAAAAGTGGGACCACATAAGTGTGTTATCATGCTTCACAGCTACTTGAAAGAAAAAGAACCAATTTTTTAAGTTATGTCAGTTTTACCCATTTTTAGGTCTGATTTAATGTAATATAATGTGTTTAAATATTGGTTGTCAAAGTCAGACATTAAGGAAAAGAAAGTCAGACATTTAACCACTGCTGGTGCTATAGACCTGAAGTGCTTTTTGTTGATATTGTGTTTTTGTTTTATGACAGAGGAGCGGGAACAAAATATATGACCGAAAAGTGGATATATTTGCTTTGGGATTGATATATTTTGAACTCCTTTGGAACCTCTCTACCAGCCACGAAAGGAAAGCTGTGAGTTTTCCAAAAATCATGCTATATATGCCAATATTAACTGCTAACTAGTAACTGCTTTGTTTCTTCTTTTTATCACTTCATGGCTTCCAGATTTGGGATGATGCCAGAAACCAGAAACTTCCTCAAGGATTCTCACACAATTTTTCTTTGGAGGTACACGAGCATTCTTTCTTCTGCTTGACTCATGAAACTGTATTTTCTGCAGGGTTGCAGTCATTTGTGATGCTCACCAGAACAGCAGTAGTGAGACTGCCCTTCTGGTGATATGATGTGGTGACATAAACAAACAAAAAAAAGGCTCTAATGCAAACAAGGCTATTTTTCGAACTTCCATCTTTTGTTTCATTTCAATTGCCCGTGGTGAAGTCTCAAAGATGAGGAGCCAAAACAAGACTGTTGATGTTGTCTATCATGTAATGGCAATGTAAAATATCGAGCAGGACCGATGACTGTTTGGGGAAAAGGTTTATTTTGTTAGATTGCCCAAGTAAAGTCAGCTTGAGGGAGTGGAGGGAAGTGGAGCCTCAAAGACACTGGCTGCATTTGTTGATATCATGGATTTCACAATAGCTGTTCTTATTGTTGTTTTGTTTGTTACAGGACCGAATTATAAAGTCCACACTGTGTATGAAGCCAGAAGACCGACCTGAAGCAAGTAAACTAAAGATGGACTTGGAAGAGTGCAGTCATACACTTACGCTTAAAGAAATGCGTTGTGAAAGTAGGACTATCTGATTATTGCAGGGAAATTCTTGAACAATAGGCGAAAGCATCAGTCATCACAAGCATGACTGTTTATTCCGCAGTCTGTTCCATAGTACTTGTACTTGGACGTTTTTGAATGCCATGGGAAGTGTCTTCATGAACTGATAGTGCAAAATGTATCATAATTGGTACTTGATGGGAAGAGACACAACCTCGTGCATTTTATAATCAAGGAATGCAACATTCACTTTTAACAAATAATGTCCTGGATAATTACTTTGTCAGCGGGTATTGAAATGTGTTCAAGGTGATGTCACATTACACCCTTTGCTTTGTAATGAATAGCATGAGTTGGAAAATTAAACAAAGGGTGTGATGTTCATTAATCTTCTGTAAGGTTCCTACTGTTGTATTTAATATAATTTGTGGATTTTAGTGGATGAGTAGACTCACAAATGAGTGTGGATGGGAATTTTATCAGCTCCGAGTTATGGACGCCAACTTCCAGAAAATCCCATTCATGTACCGAATACTTGCACGTGATACGTCATTGAGTCCCAACACTATGAGTGCAAGGCAAACATGTACAGATATGAATATTCAGCATTCGAGAAATATAGGAAAATTACACTTGAAATATGAATATTCTTTTTTTATTCTTCATTCAAGCTTGACAAGTAAGTACTTTACCTCCAAGCAATGCCTCAACATTTCTACTGTAGATTTGGCCACAGTCTGTTTCCTTTGTAAAATGTATATTCAGTCAAGATTCAAGTTTAAGCTTCGGACTGCAGGAAAACCATTGAGGTCTTCCACCACTGCAGCCTTGCAAGCCAGTTAGAGGTCAGAAGCAAACCGTTAATGACTAGCCACTGATTCAGCATCACTCTACAGATGCATTTTTACAGGGATGTCAGGAGCCAGGAACAGGGAAAATCAGAAACTATCCCAGATGATTAGGCCATCTTTGAGATGATTGAGAAGATTATTGAGGTTTAAGAGGTAAGAAGTCAAATGAACACAGCTTTAAAAAAAATAATAACACGTTGAACACCACTGTCATAGTATACCGGTGGATCCAGTGTATAACATGTAGCTGCACTTGTGTTTTGTATGTGTGCATCCAGTGTTTGTGGTGTACCCTCTGGAGATGCTGGCAGTGCTGGCACTGCAGTGGGCTACAGACAATAAACCAGGAAATGTCTTATGGTCTAAATCCGTTTATGTTGTCAGGAGACAATTACTGCATCTGATTACACTAGTCAAGAATTTGTATTCAAGAATACAGCAAAATAGTATATTAGTAGGTTGTGACTCAGACTGAAGGAAATTTACTAAATGGATTAGGTTGAAGCTCTTTTAATAACCTATTTTTTTCAAGAAACAAATCGGAGGGAATAACTTTGAGGACCTGTGGCAGCCTGGACCCGCTCGCCCTGTGGTCATGGCCCTGCTGAGACATGGTGTGACCGTAGGTGTAGGAGGTACCCCTTTCTGAGTTGTGGTCACTACTGGACAGAATTTAATTCTGCGCAAACTATAACAAAACAGCAGTTCGGTTATTGATAACTTGTGACGAACGACAGTTTTCTATAATTTGCCAGCATTCTTTTACACGTGTTCAGAGAAATGACGCTGCGCTACGTAAATGACGTTTACACAAAGAAATCGAAACTTAACTGAGTGCAAAAAAAAAAAACGTAACTGAGAGCACGGACTTCAGATGGTACAGCGTTAAGATAAGGCAGAAGATGCTGTGTAGCTGAATCTCGACATCTTTACAATGGAAACTGGAAACTACGTAGCTCAACTACATGACTATGCATTGAAAGAACGCCTTAGGGTGGACTATGAGGATCTCGGCTCTGTTGGCCCTGACCATAATAAAACGTGAGTTGAGCAATATTTCAGAGGTTTAACAGAGGTTACCTTGCATATTTGTCCACAATGACTTGTCACCATAGACTGTATTGATTGAAGTATAATAATAGTTATTCATCTACAGTTCACATTGTATGATGAAGAATGCCAGTTAAAGGGATATTACCTAATTTCATTGTCCGACATTACTTGTGCTAATGTATGTGAGTTTATTTTTCCAAAGCGATGCTGCCTAAACGATATTAGCGCTATACCTGTGTTATTATCGCATTGAATGAAGACGTGCAGTGCAATTTAGCGCACCAAAGCGTCGGCTTGTTGCATTACCCAACTTGTACAATGGAAATTGAAGAAGGAAGTCTAAAACCGGAAACAGAGACGGCTCGCCTTCAAAATAATATTTACATTTAGCTTTTCTCCAAAGCGACTTACAATTGCTATATATGTCAGAGGTCACACGCCTCTGGAGCAACTAGGGGTTAAGTGTTTTGCTCAGGGACACATTGGTGCATGGGTCACAGTGGGGAGTTGAACCCGGGTCTCTCACACCAAAGGCAGGCATCTTCTCCATTGCTCCATCACCGCCCCTTTTCTTACAGATAACAGTCATTTTTAAGGGGCTATGTGTAGTTTTTATTTTATTTTTATGAAATGAATCACTTTTTTTATTGCCTGTGTGTGTAAAGGGTTTGTGTTAACATCTCTTCTGTAGGGTGTAATGGAGATGATTAAGTTGGTGGCATCTATGAGAGGCCGCCTAGGCCAAAACTGAATACTTCACTATACTGTCATGCACATACATTAGGGCTGAACGATTAATTGCATTTGCGATATTATCGTGATGTAATAAAACGAAATTTGATGAAGTTGATGCTTTGTCTGCACGTTACGCTGTACCTTGCCTTCTTGTTGTACAATGGCCTTAAGCTTGACAGATGCTGACACTACATAAACTTTAGTGTCACAGAGGGAATGAAAGTAGCACCCGCCACCCGCAGGTAACCTGGTGGGTGAAATCGTGGGGCCATCTGCGACTTTGACGGACAGGAAAAATGCACAACAGAAAGACACGTGTAGTAAGGTAAGCGCATTGTGGCGATCGGCACCTGCGTCACACACACAGACACCAGTCAGCTCAGAAAATATCTGTGAAACAGCGTTTCAAACCAAACTCCGAAAGTCTGAAAGAGGCCCGGAATGTCCCAAGTTACAGCCGGTGCGCTGCTCACCAGCATCGAAGGCAGCGGTGGCGGGGAACTCCGGTGTTGTCGGAGAATTACTAAACTTGTCACACACGAGAGGCGTCACGTGATTTTATTTTCGTTGTCCAACTTTTGAATTGAACCTCAAACTGAGTATTTTTTGTTTGCTTACTGGGATAAAGAAAGATGGACTCCTAGGAGATTTGAATGAGATAAAGATGCATTAATTGCTGGTTGAACTGTGGGTTCAACCACCAAGTAGGCCGACCTGATTATATTATATTATATTATTTAATGCCATAACTTGACTCAAATTATCTTTCTCATATTATTATTTGGTATATCTTCTCCACCATTACTCATAATAATAATTTTACCTAATTCATCATAACACAAGCCTGACCCACAAGAAAGAACAGTGTAGTTCTATCTATCAAATATCAATATAATGTATAGGGCCTATATATAATATATCAATATTGTGTTGGTCAGACTATACACTGATTTACTGCTTGTCCATTTTTAATAATACAGAAGGTAAAGAGCTTAAAAAGTTAATTGCATATTAAATCGCAATATTAGTAAAAAAAAAAAATTGCAATTAGATTATTTTCCTACATTGTTCAGCCCTAACATACATACTGTCATTTGTAAGTATGTATGTATGCGCAAGGTGAGTATGTACACTGTACAAAATTATAAACGCAACACTTTGGTTTTTGCCCCCATTCATCATGAGCTGAACTCAAAGATCTAAGACTTTCTCTATGTAAAGAAAGGCCTGTTTCTCTCAAATATTGTTCACAAATCTGTCTGTTAGTGACCACTTCTCCTTTGCCGAGATAATCTATCTTGATATCCCACTCCTCACAGGAGTGGGATATCAAGATGCTGATCAGACAGCATGGGTATTGCACAGGTGTGCCTTAGGCTGGCCACAAAAAGACCACTCAGAAATGGCTTCATTCAATGCGACAATGACACAGGCATAGCGCTAACATTGTTTAGGCAGCATTGGTCGATGACATTAGGTAACACCCCCTTAACTGGCATTTTTCATCATACTATGTGAACAAACTGCACAGGAATTATACTTCATGTGCGGAGAAAGGTGGATGGGAGGAGTATAAGCTGTTAAAGGTCATACTGATTTTTGTAAAGAACAGAATGGGTTGATAAAGTTCCTTAATTGCAGCAGATAACATATTGGAATGAAATCAGTTTGACCTATTATAGTACCTCAAAATTGTTCTTGAATAAAGTGTTTGGAAAAATGTAGTAGTACAATTTCAGCCTATGAATGTGATCACAGTTGAACCCTAGTGTGTGAGTGTCCTGGTGGATTCCCACATTAGTCAGAACAAGGATGATTATTGGCTCCTGGAGGCTGAATGTGGTAGTGTGCAGTAGAGCCTAACAGAGATGGCATATTTGTGACCGATTTTGATAAATTAGGATTTTGAAATGTGAAATTCTTTTCTTTCTTCTTTTCAGAAACACATAACATAAACAAAGATTAAAGCTGCAAGCAGCGATGACTGCGTGTTACCGATGGTTTTCTCTAGCACTTCTAGGGCCCTCATTCGTGAAGTAGCAAGGGCCCTAGAGGCACTAGAGAACACCTGTCAGGGCTCCAGAGTAACTTTTTGCATTGGTTGCACTGTTGCACCTGCATTTTTCATTTAGGTGCACCGCTACAAAATTTAGGTGCTCAAAAATTTAAAACTTTTCAATTGAAGCACACACACCTTCAGAGCCAATCCCAGGTGAAGAACTGCCAATTTACAGTACTGCATCAGAGCAATGCAGTTGGTTACCCTACATGCAGCACTTGCGCAAGTCGTGGCGACACACACTGCAAGAACTGTGATTGGTCGACTTGGTAGCATTGCATTTCCTTTAAGCTCCCAGGAAGAGCTGTGTGCTTTGAAGCCAGTTTTAGTAGTGGCCAAATGAGCTGCTGTAAAATGGTGGATACTTTTTTTTGAGCATCACAAACCCTTGAAATGACTCATTTCACTGTCAGAATTTGATCTATTCAGTCAATAACATTTGGAAAGTCTAGAAGAGCCACACAGTTATTATTTTACCCCCATTCAAGTTAGCAGAAGGCTAAACCAGAAGTTAGCCGGCTCACCGGCAGAAGTCAACACAGTGGAACATAAAAACCACCAACACATAAATGCGTGGGTATGTGCACCATAGTTATGTGTTTTTAAATGGCTCTCATTTTCTTCCACGAGTGAGTTTTTGTGACCAAGAAAAAAATGTTGTCACCTTGGACAGATTTTTTTTGGTCGCCCTCTGGAGCCCTGCCTGTGAATTATACGTTGTGTACCAGTACATGAAGTGTGGAACACAGTGAAATGTCATGTAAATCACATGATGATTGTCACACACGGCTTACTTTCTGTTGCCAGTAGGTGGCGCTATGACTATAACTGAACACTGACATGTAGATGTCTTGTCCTGTTGGGTTTAGGGCATCACCCCAGGAGGCTTTTTTGTATGTATGGACATGATATTGTACATCTGCCACAAAATGTTTGTACACGTCGGTGAAATGTGTCACGGGGGCTGCTCTGTTGGGGGCACTAGTGAGCCATTTTGCCACACCTATGTGCAAGACGCATATTACACGTAAATCTTCGCCACATCTGATAATTCCATACATTTTAGTAGGGTCCTTGGACGTTTTGTGCGTAGTTTTCTGTATAATTATGAGACCTCACCAATACAACATAACATGACATAATCCAATTTAAAAATAAATTAAAAATAATTTTATTGTTATAAATAGTACTTTGAACAAAAGTATACCTGATTATGTCTACTAAACCAAACACGTGTGGTGCAGAGTGCCATCTGGTGGACAAACTATGCAAAAACAACACTCATAACATGATTGAAGGATCTGTCTTCCGTCTCTACGTTTCTTTTTTAATCGTCATTTATTGGCTCTTATAAACACTGATACCGATTTATCTACAAAACCTCGTATCGGTTGGGGTCTAATGTGCAGATTCATGTAATTAAATGCACACCAACCCCACCAACATCATTTTAAGTCAGCTTGCCTGACAACAAATGTATTCCTCTACAGATTCACCCAGAGGGCAGTCCTAAATGGTAAATTCTATCCCGATGGTGTGGGAAGGAACAAGAAAGAAGCCAAACGGAATGCAGCTAAAAACGCCCTGAAATGCTTGTTGGAGAACAAATATCAGGACTCAGTTGACTCAGTAAGATTATTGTTCCTTTTTACTTAACTAGAGAATATTGGATTGTAGGTATCTAAAAGCAAAATACCAGTTGATGGCAAATGTGTCCTTGAAGTATTTGTTATCATTTTGACAGACAGAAAATGCTACAGAAGCTTCTGCATCCAACATCAACTATATAAGTTGGCTCCATGAATATGGTCAGAAGAACAGGGTGACTATAAAAGCTGTGGAGTCAACAAGACCCGGACGATTTAATGCTACTCCGTAAGCTTCCTAACTACACCCACATTCTTATCTATTTTGTCACGAGTGTACTAAATAAAAGTTTTTTATGCTAATAGATGCTGTAGCTTTGTGGTTGGTGATAAGGAGTATCCAGCTGTCACTGGGAAAACAAAGAGGGAAGCTAAGGCGAACGCAGCAGAGCTTGTATATAATAGGATATGTGGCAATAAAACTACAGAGGTAAGTAATACACATTAGTTTTTGCTGTCTTAATCATAGGCCTAAAAACCTATCAGTGTTTCCCACAGAATGACAGACAACTTGGGCAGCAGCGGCCTCACAGGGGGTTGGTGTAGTATTTCTAGTAGCTTATTTCATTCTCCACCTAATTAGTGTTTACTCACCAAGTGAATCTGCTCTCTTTCCCTTCAGTTCTCTTTTCCCCTCACTCACACACAGAACCCGTCTTCTGGATCCCCCCCCCCCCCCGCAATTCTGTTTTCAGCAGCAGGTGCACCACATATTAAGGAGGCCTGTTAATGAGCCAATCAAAACAAAACCAACGTGGTAGCTAATGATTGACATCTGCACTGGTCACTGTTACTTTACTTGGTCCGTGCTTGTAAAATATCCACCGTGTCCAAGTCTTCTAACCTAATAGATAACAACTCTCTCTGTGTTTCTCTGCAGAATGTTAAAATGGGCTGCCTAATACACCTGGGCAGCCCGCCCAAGTAAAGTCTATATGTGGGAAACACTGCTTGTGTTGTAGGGTGTCACATACTCAGAAGGCCACAGTCGAGTGTGTGAACCATCTCAACATTTTACTTTTTGTATTGTACAAGACTGCAGATGAGAAATACAACTGTACATCAACTCAACAACAGGAGGAACGCAATCCAAATCTCTTTGATATTTGGTGAGTAAATCACAACAGTAATGCATTGTTTAATTTTCATGTCTTCACCAGTGTGAAATGTTACTTGTTTATTACAGTGACAAGATAAGGCGCCTCAGTGTGAAGTCACACATTTACAGAGACATAGGGAGACAAACAGAGACAAATTACATAGGAATTGTCAACCACTACTGTCAGAAAACAAAGCGCTGCCATTCATACATTGAAGAGAGGCGATGCGGCTCACCTGATAACCCAATGTGAGTATGAACTTTTAACCTGAATAGACACTACAGACACACTATGCTAACTCTTAATCGATGTTTACTTGTAAACAACATTAAAACGTTAACACAAAGTTCTAAACTCTTTCCCCGTTTTTAAAACACAACATAGATTTTTCTACAAATTGATGATCGACAAAAAGGAGTACCCCGAAGGTGAGGGTAAGACAGTGAAGGAAGCCAGACAAAATGCAGCTCGGCTGGCCTGGTCTGCTCTTCAAGAACAGTCAGACTATGACAGCAAGGTATTTTATATTTTCTACACCCTTTATATCATCAAATATAAACTCAGTTGCGAGTTTGTTAGGTACACCTACCTAAAAATAATGTAGTCGAGTACAATGGTTCTGCCATAAATCCTACCTTTCGTGAAGGTTATAATATTCAGTTTTTGTTGAAACTGTTTTAGAGAGGTATTGATCCAATTTTATGATAATTTCTGAGGTTGTAGTTTGTGGTGCTTTTGAATTGTGTTGTGTTATATTCACCACAGCCTAGATGCTTTTATTTGAAAGCCCTTGTCATAGAATATATAAGCAATGCATTTAGTTTTTTGTTTTTTCATTCCAGGTATTGCACTTTGTTTTTTGCATATTTAACCAGGTGTTAGTTAGTGATATTTCCTAATACTAGCAGGTGGCAGGAGATGTTATCCCCAGCTACTTTTAAATTTGAATGAAATGGAATGAATGGCATTTAACATTGAATAATTATGTATAAGAGTATGTTGAACACCTTTCTGTGCATTTCAGGTGTCCGTCAGATCAACAGTGTCGGAAGATGGTGCACCACCTACGTTGTCTGCACGATCAGCTTCATTGTAAGGCACTTAATGTTATTAGTAGGAGAGCAGACTATGATGTTAAATACTGAGAAAGCTGTACTTATGTCTCTCATTGTATTCCCCTAGGGAGTCACATGACTCATCATCACAATGCACACCAATGAGCACAAGTGCCTCAATAATATTCACAGATTCATCAACCCCTTCCAAGGTTCAGGTCTGTTCTCTCATAATTATTAAAATATTTAGTAGGTTAAGCAAATTCTCTTGTAACAGTCTGCAAGACTGCAGCAGGCTAGTAGCAGCCTTGCAAGAGCAAGAAAGTTTAGTTTGGGTCCATATTTGTGTTTCACTATTTCACATTAATCTACTTTATTTTTCAAGAGGGTACTGTCAGTGCCAAATCCATACTGCCAGCAAGATCCGTTCTGCACATGCACAAAAGTGGTTCTGTCAGTCAAAGAAGGTTACTGCAAATCTGCCTATTCAAAATGATCCAGCTAACTCTTTCATATCGAGATAACAATTTTTTTTTCACTGGAGATGAAACTGTTCCCTATGATGTAATAGGAGTATACTTTAGATATTCAACAGTAAATTTTAAATTTCCAATAATGACAACAACCTAACAATATAGCAACACAAAGGAGGCTGGCGGCTGATGAGCTCAGCTGTAGGGTTAGTCGGTCGACATGCATACAATCGCTGACTTATGTTTAGGCACACACCCCTGTAATGGTTAGGGTTAGGGTAAGGTACTTTGGGAAGCTGTCAACTCCTTTTATACTAAAAATAGCTAAGTAGCTACCTGCGTCTATATGACACGACCTGTCTAGACCGGTCTAGACAGGTCGTGTCATATAGACGCACCCGGAGGCGTGTCATACGGACGCTGAAGGGTACTTTTTGCATCAAATAATGCTTTGTCAGCCTTTCTGAAAGCGTCAGCATTTGACGCCCTGAGATGAGAACAGACAACTACACACAAATAATTATGAACAGGCACATTTGTGGTAACCTTCTTTGACAGACAGGACCACTTTTGCGCATGTACAGATAGGGATCCGGCAGGCAGCATGAATTTGGTACCTATAGGTACGTCATTTTATTTGGAAGACGCTACATTGGAACAATTAACCGCTTTTTTTGTGAATTATAGATGCCCTTCAGTTCAGCTGGGTCTGAAGATGATGCACCAACTCGGTTGTCAACACCAACTTCACTGTAAGGCACTTATTGATAACAGTATTAAATCACATTGTAGAGCTTAATACTGAAAAGCTGTTGTTATGCCTCTTATTATATTTTCCTAGTGAGTCTCTGGCATCATCACAAGGCATGTCAACGAGTACAAGTGGTTCAGGAATATTCACTGATTCATCGAACTCTTCCAAGGATCAGGTCTGCACTTTATGACAATCTTAAAATCTGATAGTTAAAAGAAAAATCTGGTAGCTCATCCGGTAGAGAATGTGCACCATGTACAAGGTTGAGGCCTGTAGTGGCCTGGGTTCAAATCCAGCCCATGGCCCTTTGCTGCATGTCATCCCCTCTTTCTCTACCACTTTTCCTGTTTCCAGATTTTTTTTTCAAATATACTCAACTACTAAACTGTGCTGATTTGATGTTTTTTCTCCAAAGCAAATAATTTCAATCTTCTAGCTGGTACATCAAATGCCCACTCAATATTACCCCCCTCCTTTTCCTTGTTAGCTGTTTTTCTGCTTTCTTCCCTGTCAATAAGCAGTTTGTAACTAGACTTGTCACAAATATGTGCGTTCTTGAGAACACGCCCTCTCCTTTGATAAAATCATGTCTGCCTGTGCTCTGCCCCCTGCTGACACAAATGAAAAATGCATCTCTTCTTTCTGCCCCCTTTCTCCCCAGTCTAAAAATGTCTGCTGGCAATCACCCCAGTCCTAAAAGATATTTCGTACTGACCTGTAGGAAGATTTCGATTCACCCGTTTCTTGCCAGACTTCTTGCCTTTCCCAAGGTGTCCCCTAGGGCTCAGTTCTTGGACTGTACATTACTTGCATTTTTCCTCTTGGACACATAATTCAGCAACATTGCCTCAATTTTCACAGCTATGCTGATGACACACAACTCTACCTACACACCGAACTTCCAGACACTCTACCACCATCCTACCTGACAGAGTAGATAATATTAATACTTGGAGGACCTGAAATTACCTTAAACTCAATCAAGGCCAATTATTTATTAATTAATTAAAAATAAATGGGCCAAAGAGCAGCCCATAAAGCAAGGGTAGTGGCCCATTGGTTCATTTTCTGTACAGACACTGAGCTGGCCCAATCACATGTTTTACCAGTACCAGAAGGGGTTCTGCCCTCTGTTTCTTGTGTCAGAAGCCGGAGGTTCAGAGCCATGTGCCAGATAATGTCTCTCTCTCTCTCTGTTTCTCTGCAAAGTGCTGCAAAATATAGTGTCGTATAATTTTCGCCAAATATAGCCTACTTTGGCTTTGACTGTTAATATACCTGGGCAGTCTGCCCAAGTAAAATCTATTGTTTTGTGTGGGGAAACACATGTATGTGTGGCTGTGACATTTGTTGGTGTCTGCATGTACATTTGTCTGGCACAGGATCGGATATGTGATACTGACCAGTCAGCAGTCATGGCCAATCAAGCTGAAAATCAGAATCAGAATCAGAAGGAGCTTTATTGCCAAGTACTGGTCTACACATACGAGGAATTTGGTTTGGTGATAAGGTGCTACACATAGACAAACAATACAATTGACATAAATAAATGTAGAAATATATAAATATGGAATACACAAATGCAAGTTATATAAGAATAATAAAAGAATAGAGAAATATAATACAACTATTTGCAGAGAAAGAACAATGTGGCAGATATTTACATATTTACATTTGTGCATTACTCTGGTTTGTGTTGTGCAGACGTGTTGCAACAGAAGAGAATATTGTGTACACAAATATATAAATTGACAATAAAACAATATAGAACAACAAAGATTAACAATTAACAACAAATATGTGCAATGTACCAGGTTTATGCACAATATGAAATTAAGTAAAATTTAGACGTGCAGAGACATTTGCAATTTTTGAAAGGGGGGTTGGGGGTGTCAGTGGGGGACCCGGGCCTTGTTAATGAGGCTAGCTGCAGACGGGAAGAGGCTGTTTTTGTGGCAAGAGGTTTAGGTCCTGATGGACCTTAGCCTCCTGCCAGAGGGGAGTGTCTGAAACAGTGACCGGGATGGGAGGGGTCAGCTGCAATCTTTCTAGCTCACCTCATAATCCTGGAGGCGTACAGGTCCTGAAGAGAAGGAAGATTGCAGCCAATCACCTTCTCTGCAGAGCGAATGATACGCTGCAGCCTGCCACAAATGTGTGGCAGCAGCGTACCAGATGGTGATGGTGTACCAGGTTAGGATGGACTCAATGATGGCTTTTGATTTTGGCAGGCTGAACTTCTTTAAATGCCTCAGGAAATAGATCCTCTGCTGGGCCTTCTTGGTGAGGGAGGTGATGCTCCCACTTGAGGTCCTGGGAGATGATGGTGCCCAGGAAGTCCACAGTGGCGACAGTGGCAGTCATGCAGGATGATGGGGGAGGGAGGGGCAGGGCTCTTTCTGATGTCCAATGGTGGTGTCATCCGCAAAATTCAGGCGCTTGACTGGAGGTGCAGCTGTTGGTGTACAGGGAGAAGAGCAGAGGGGAAAGAACACAGCATTGAGAGGAACCAGTGCTGATAATCCTGGAATCAGAGATATGTTTTCCCATCTTTACGTGCTGCTTCCTGTTTGTCAGGAAGTCTGTGATCCACCTGCAGGTGGAGTCCGGTACATTCAGCTGAGAGAGCTTGTCCTGCAGCAGGGCCGGAATTATGGTATTGAAAGCAGAGCTGAAATCCACAAACAGGATCCTGGCATAGGTTCCTGGTTGTCCAGGTGCTGGAGGATGAAGTGAAGGGCCATGTTTACTGCATCATCTACAGACCTGTTTGCTCTGTAGGCGAACTGCAGGTGGTCCAGGTGGGTCTGTGATGGATTTAAGGTGGGACAACACAAGGCACTCAAAAGACTTCATTACCACAGAGGTCAGGGCAACGGGTCTGTAGTCGTTTAAGTGCAATTTATACTTCTGCGTCAAATCGACGGTGTAGCCTCTGAGTAGACCCCTACCCCACGCCGTCACCTACGGCGTAGCATGACGTACACCTCCTCAAAAATGTAACTACACGTCGAGTCGACACGGACCGTAAGCACTGTGATTGGTCGGCTGGGTAGCCTCACAATGCCTCCAAGCCGTCAGGAAGTGCCCCGTGCTTTGAAGTAACTTTTACTAGCAGCCAAAACAGTGACTGTAACACAGTGGATCAATATATTTGACCGTCACAACCTGAGCGAAATGACTCGTTTCACTATCAGAATGTGATCCACTCGGTCGATAACATTTGAAAAGGCTACACCAGCCACATGTATACAATTTTACCCCCAATCACGTTAGTGGAGGGCTAAACCAGAAATTAGCCTGCTCGCCTGGTTAAAGTCAACACAGTGGACGCGCTACCGCCGACTAGCTTTTGGGGGTGTAATTGCAGAATGACGGACACACCGACGCACACCGACGGGGATGGTGGACTGGGGCTGGAGCTGAGTGGAGAGTCACGGGGGATAGTGTCCAATTGGCACTTTAACGCTGCACCCGGTCCTGTCCCCACTCCTATATGCCTCCTCCTTTTCCAACTTTAGCTGTCTGAGTTTGGCTGTAAACCAGGATTTATCATTGTTATAACTCACCCTCGTCCGTGTTGGTAAACAGCTGTCCTCACAGAAACTGATGCAGGATGTCACAGCATCAGCAAACTCATCCAGACTGTTGATAGCAGTTCTGAAAACATCTCAGTCAGTGCAGTCCAAACACGCCTGAAGATCCTCTACAACTTCACTGGTCCACTTCTTGATGTCCTCACCACAGGTTTACAGAGCATTAGTTTTTGCCTGTATGCAGGAAAACCAGCCAATCCAGGTCACCGGCACATTGATTGGTGCATCTCTACTATTGTGTAAAAACTGTCATACCTGGTTTTGTAATGTGTCCTTGGGTGATTTGAAAGGCTTGAAATGTTTTATTATTATTACTATTTTAAAAAAAAGAAAAATCTTCTTATATTCTGCCTACTCTGTATGTGATGAAAGCAACAGAATGGAAGTAATAATTAGTTTTATAATCAAGAAAGTTTAATTTGCCCAGTTAAGGCAAATAGAGAGCTCTCCACACACACGCACACGCACACACACATACACACACACACACACACACACACACACACACACACCTACCTAGAGGGAGTCACTCAAAAAGCCATATGCTACTTGGCTGTTTAAATGTGGCGGAAGACATGTTGTATGTTGTAGTTCTTAGAGTAGTAAGAGTATACAACTTAATAATCAGAGCAGGGTTCAAAAGTATAAACCTATTTTATTCTTTATTCTCCAAGGATGCTTTCAAAGACAAGAATAGGGGAAATAGTCCAAATGAGTCAAGGTAATAAAAAACATGTATTTTATACTTACATGGTCTTAAATTTCTCTCACAATAATTGATCTACGATCCAGAAGACATTTCAGTGTTTTTTAACCTTTTGACTAAACAATAGGCATTACTCTCAACAGGTTTACTTCAGACTTTGATCCAATGGACTGTCTTGGCAAAGGAGCCTTTGGCTGTGTTTACAAAGCAAGGCATAAACTGCTGGATAGGTTTTATGCTGTAAAGATTGTCTGCCGTGAAGAGTAAGTATACAGTAGTAAGGTTCCAGTCTGCAGTGTAGCGTGTGCAGTATTTGTGCAAGAACTTTGTTTACTGATTCATTTTCTCGTTCTCCTTTGGATCAGGAAATCTCTTAGAGAGGTGGGGACATTATCAGACCTTCACCACCCTAATATCGTTAGATACTACACATTTTGGATGGAGGATTCAGGATACCAATGGGACTTTTCAGCTAGCAGTTCTAGCTCTTACCGGCAAGTCCCGATGCACCTTAACTTGTCTTAACTTTTTATGTCAAGTTCAAGGTGAGTAATTCAATATTTTTTCTGTTCTTTCTTTTCTAGGTCTATAGATAATACATCTTCAAAATTCCTCTATATTCAGATGGAGTTATGTGACACCAAAACACTCAAAGAGTGGATTGATGAGAAGAACACTCAGTCTATGCAAGACTGCAAGAGAAGAGAAGAAAGTCTAAGCATTGCTCAACAAATAATTAGTGGAGTCGAATATATTCACTCTAAGAAGCACATCCACAGGGACCTTAAGGTGAGACCAGATTCTGCAGTGTGTGACTGAGGCAAAGCTGATAGAGAATGTATGTAACTTCAGTTGTAAGAGCATTTGACATGTCCCGTGGTTTACTTAGCTTTTTTAGAAAAAAAAAGCTACCCTGACAATGTGCTGCTGCTTTCCTGCTGCTTGAAGTGCAGTATATAATTCTGTACAGCTTAGACTTTTGTCCTTGTGACCAAAATTCTTTCTTAGCTAATTGTGTGCCATTACACAACAGTACCGCTGTGGACACTCAACTCATTGGGAAAGCATGAAACCAGAAGCATGACACACAAACAGGTTAAGATAAAGGTTCTATTTTACTTTAATTCCAAAGTTAAAAGAGGAAGGACTCTCCTTGATGGGCTTGAGTCAGGAGACATGGACAGTAGGAAGGATGCTTCTGTCGGGTGTAGTGGCGGATCTGGGAGTGGGGCAACCAGGGTCAGTGGGGAACAGGCAGATGTTATGGAAGGCCAGTGGGAACCTTGTGGGATCTCTTGTGCTGGGAGCAGATCTGTCGGACAGGCGACAACAAACTCCTTGGCGTCCAGATCTATAGATGCCCACCAGCAACGTTGCAGGAGAGCCAGGTTGCCCGCTACACCAGGGTAACATTTCAGCTCAGACAAGTGGCCCCCCTGGAGAATTTGGGAGGGCACATTGGCTGGCACAAAGAAATGTTAGTAGGACAAGCACCTTGTCCTCAGTGACCCAAGAGACAGCACAAGTGACAGAGGATGAATGCTCCAGGATTTGGCCATTGATGCAGCTGACAAGGACGATGAGGGGATCCAGGATGAAGGATGGCTCTCCACCAGTCGTAACTCGGTGAAATAACTGGCCACTCATCTTTTAAGTTGAACAGACTTCAACCAGCCTCCCTTCCCAGAATAGCATGATTGAACGCTGTGTTGAGATTGGTTGTTAGGAGCTTCTCAAAAAAGCAGGCCGGAAATTGGTTTTCCCAACTGCGTAGACCTAGTCCCTGGCAGTACCGGTGAGCAGATGTAGATCACCTAGGATCAATCTGAAGGGAAGGAGGAAGGCTGGAGCTTGATAATGAGAAAGCACTAGTGTTGTCAAAAAAATCGATTTTGATACATATTGATTCTGAATATTTTAAATGGTTTTAATACTTATATTCCACAGAATCAATCCTGAAAATAAGCTTCTCTTCTCTCTTCCCGACAGAGAGTTGACACACACACACACACACACCGCTGCAGCGCCCACATAGCCTGTCACTCACAGCGCTGCCGACTCGTCTCGTTTGCTCCGGTTGAATCCAGTTTTCCAGCCAGTTTTGACAAGTCCCGCCCTACTGTGCTGTATAGTACTCGTCACTTGTGATTGGACTCTGGCAATTGCCATATGCAAGCCCATATGCAAGCAATGGTACAGAGCAGTGGAGCTGCCTCAGAGCTATCAGACCTGATGCACTGAGTGAGGAAGGGGTGATGTGCTTGTCTTTCCATGGGGCAAAGCCGGGTTTAGCTGCCAGTGAAAGTGGACTGTAATGGAAACCAGCAGCAAGACCCACAGACAAACAGGTTAAGGTAGAAGCTCTTTTTAGTTTAGTCAGAAAGCAAGTAGGGATCAAACCAGGTAATCAGTCACAACAGGCAAACTTATGCAGGTAAAGGTAAAAAGGTAAGAGCATAATCAATCAGGGGAACAAGCAAAAGGCTAGGTAGGCAGGGGGAAAGAGCTGGAAAGCTTGGGCACATGCAAACTAAACAATCTCGCAAGAGGTATATATACTACTAGGCTGATTAGGATAAAAGAAAGCAGGTGAGTGAGTTGGGCGGGGGAGGTCAGGCTTTAGGAATGGTGCGACACAGGGTTTCTGCAGTGCAGGAGGGATTGACTGAATCTGGAAAGACAGGGAGAGTGAGGCTACATCCACACCACTATTACGAAAATGATCTCTGTCCACACCATCATTTTAGCTGCATTTTAGAATTGATCATTATGAGCTGGCTGGAATTATTGAGGATATTTTTCAGTCTTGTAAATATTTGTGGACGGGTCAGGTCATTTTTTACGGCCAGTACTCAGTAATTCCCCGCCAGAATAATATTGCTGGTAGGATGGAGGAAGCCTTCAACAGTATTTAGACCATCAGGTTATGAAATCCTAGAACATACTGTTACTGTAAATGGAAGGCATTTACATTAGATTTAATAGAAAAATAAACAAATGCCACATGAATAAACCAGACACACAAAGCTTTTAGGGTCTGTAATGAACAGAAATCCAACTAGAAATGACAAAGTGACAACGTGAGAGAATAATTTCAAATAATTTTCAAAATAAGTTTTTGTATCTAGAAATGATAAACATAGTTGGTCAACAAACTAATTGATTGAACCAATGAAAGCCACATGCTGACTGTTTACCTTTTTAAAATCTGTTTCAAGCTCTACATTCATTGGTTCATGTATTACTGTACATCGCAAAGGACCTAAAGGATGGTTGTTTTTGCTTTTCAACGGTTAGCCTGACAACATCCTGTTTGGACATGATGGAGACGTGAAGATAGGAGACTTTGGTTTGGTCACCAGAGAAGATGATGATGACTCTGCTTTGATGGAGAGAACAGGGTACAGAGGAACCGCAACTTACATGGCTCCTGAACAAGTGAGATGTTCTATACTGACAATGACTTTTAATTCTTCTACTGAAGCTTCATTTACCTCATGAGCATAACTAGTTAATAAAATGAAAAGATAAAATCAGGCCGCTGAAGTGCTTTTTGTGTTTTTATTCTATCACAGAAGAGAGAGAAGACCTATGACCGAAGAGTGGACATATATCCTCTGGGGTTGATATATTTTGAACTCCTTTGGAAACTCTCTACTGGCCACGAAAGAGGAGAGGTGAGTCTTTCATAAACAGAACAGAACATTATGTGTTATTAATAGTTTGACAAAGTAAAGTTTGACAAATGTCATACCATGACAATGTTACCATATTATGAAGGGCTTTGTCTGTTATACAAAAATAAGATACCAGTAGTTGATTTAGGTATTTTCTAGCAAAAGAAATGTAATGAACGAACTGATTGTTCATCGTTGAATCTATCTCGTTAAATTTTTCTTGTATTTATTTGTAATGTTCAACAGAGCATAATTTCAGTTATTATTAAATTTCAGGCTTACTAACGTGTTCTTTTATCCTTTTATCACTTACTGAATACCAGATTTGGGATAATGCCAGAAGTCAGAAGCTCCCAGAACAATTTTCACTGACTTTTCCCCAAGAGGTAGATTCCCATATTCTTATTACCTAACTGATCCACTTGCCTTGCGCACAATAACAGCATTTATTATTGTTGGTAGAAAGATCTCAGTCACTGTTTATTTGTTGTTTTTGCAGGACCAAATAATTAAGTCAATGCTCTGTGAGAAGCCAGAAGACCGACCTGAAGCAAGTACATTGAAGGCAGAGCTGGAGAAGTGGGCTCAGACGTTAAATGCATAAAATATGCACCAGAAAAGGAATTGTGATAAGTCACGTGAGCTTTATGGAAATCTGTCTGTTCTGATGTCTGAAACTGAAATGATTTGATATACATATATTAATATGATGTTATTAATATTTGTAGGAAAATGGTTAATTTACTGCACTAACTGCACTATAGTGGTTGTTGAGATCTGTACAGAGTGTTTCCCAAGGCCAAAAACCTATGGCAATGGTTTGAGGTTGTTTGTTTTGCTCCCAACCATGCAATTAATGAACAGCCTAAAAGGGGACGTAATATTACGGATTTTATAATCAGGGAATAAAATGTAAAATCAAATTATATCATGATTTTTAAAAGTAACTTCTGCCATAATTCATTTGCTTTTGTTTTAAATAATCATTTCCTGGGTAATGTCTGTGTCAACGGATGACATTTTATTATATGCTGGAAATGGTTGAATGTATTTAAAGTAACATCACATTACAGCCTTTGTTTTGTACTGACTATGTCACACACACATACTAAACCGTACCTGTAGACACTATGGGAACCATGGTCAAATTCTTGAATGGACGTCTGATTTTTGTTTTTATTATTTTGCATTCATTAAGCATTAAAAACAATGATGGGAAATAATGGAAATATTGCCAATATTCTGTCCATGAATATGAACATTTTACCCTTAGTTCAGCTGCACCAGGTTTTTCTTATTTTCTCCCGTATGATTTTAGGTGTTCTTTGCTTTATTGTTGTTTTAATAGCTAATTTAACATCTGGTCATGATAACAGTTGAAATTTAGCCTTTTGGCTAACACTGGCTCATATACAGTGATGCTGATCCCAGAATCCCATTGTCCCAGAAGACAGATGTTTGTCTGCTTCTCCAACTTTCCCTGTACTCCATTTACCTTTTGATTCCACCAAATTTGGTTCAGATTCAATACCAAGTAATACAGAAACACTGACATTCCTACCAAAACTTTGTTAATATTAAGTACCATAATGTTTTATGAGTTTATTTATTTTATTAAAAGACTTTTGTATATCATTTAGTTTTTACTATTCTCTATTAATCATTTAATCGATTGATACTCATATCAAGACTTGTTATTGGTAGTATTGATACTTTAGGTGTCAAGCCGCCCACCTCTAGAGTGAATTCCCACAGCCATCCATTTAAGTCTCAAGTTTTAATCCATCTGATGTTTGAAAAAGGAAGAGGGGAAAAAAGCAAACATTACTGTGACTGTTAATAGTTGTGCTTCGAAGTTATAATGTCTACTTGATTCCAACAGTGGTTTTCCCAGAGGTCAATTTGTACTTGCAGTTAATGGCCTTTCTGGAACTTAAGTCTTTAGTCATTCACACTTCTCCCAGTTCCTATAAACGGGGACCATTATCTTTGCACATTGCACATATATTTCTTATACTGTGAATGTTTGCACATTCTTGCCCATACTTTACAGCTCTATCATTTTAAAAACATATATTTTGTAATACTTTAATAGTATTTGTAAATTTAAAATTTCTATTTATATTTCCAGAATTTTGTACTACTTGATAGTATCTTTTTATTTTCTCTTAAAATGTTTATTGTGATGGATCAAAATACCAAAGAAAATTCCTTGTATGTGAACATCTACAGTACTTTGCAATAAATATAAGTAGCTGTAAATATTACAAGTCTCCCATTTTCTGAGTGTGCGCTCTGTGGAGATCCTGGCAGTGTTGTTGACACTGCAGTGGGGTACAGACTTGAGTCCAGCGATGAGATCATACCGGATCATACCCGATCACACCAGCCCCGACGCCTGTCAACGTGTCAGCCTTCCCGGGACCGTCCAGATAACGTAAACCACGTAACGTTACGTAGACGAAACGACGTAAAAACGAAGAAATCGAAACTTAACAGGTATCCAAGTCAACTGAATCGAAACAGAGAAAGGAAATGCATGAATATGAGCAGAGATAAGATGGGATGCGAAAGGAGACAAGTACTTTGAGCTTTGTATTTTGTTGTCAGTTTTATGTAAAGGCATATGAGTTAAAATTCCGTTGCAGCTTCGTCATTTACGATGGAAACTGGAAGCTATGCTGCTAAACTACACGAGTACGCACAGAGATCAGGGTATAGGCTGAAATTTGACGACCTCGGCTCTGTTGGTTCTGACCATAATCAAACGTGAGTTGAATCTATTTCTGTTACCAGTGGGTTGTACATTATTCTGCACAGTCATGCTCCTCTAAAATAGGAGTGCTTTTCTTTTCAGTGAGAGTCTATTTCATGTTCTTAGGATGTCATGGATGATTATTAGGGTGGTGGCGTTCAATATTAAGTAATACCCACAGAAAAGCAACTACGCATCAATACGTAGGAGGCCTGATCAGAAATCTCCTAAAATATAATCAGACAACCAAGTAAATATAAAACAAATGTATCCAAAAACTAAGGACAACTTTTTATTCCCACATCAAAAGGGGATATTTTTCAGACAAGGTTTTTTTTATTATTATTTATTTTTCTGAGAAAGGTGGATGGCAGGAGCATAAACTGTACAAGGTCATACTGATTTATGTAAAGAAAAACGTGTGTCGATAAAGTCCTTTAATTGCAGCAGATAACATACTTGAATGACCTGCTTGCTCTGGATCAGTTATTCCCTGTGGTCTGTAACCTCTTTATGTGTGAAGTTAATTGTAAATTGTGGTCATGTAAATGTGACTGAGGAGAGGTAAAATCACATCAAATAAAAATAAGAACCTCAAACTTGTACTTAAGTGTTTGAATAAGTATTGTGTTACAAATTCAGCCTATGAATGTAATCTCAGTTTAACATTAGTGTGTGAGTATGCTGGTGGAGGCAGCAGTCACAACATGGATGATTACTACCTCCTGGAGGCTGAACGTGGTAGTGTGCAGATTCATGTAATGTACACCAACCCCACCCACAGAATTTCAAGTCAGCTTGCCTGTATTACAAATATATAACAATTCCTCTACAGATTCACCCAGAGGGCAGTCCTAAATGGTAAATTCTATCCCAATGGTGTGGGTAAGACCAAGAAGGAAGCCAAACATAATGCAGCTAAAAACGCCCTGAAATACTTGTCGGAGAATGAACATCAGGACTCAGTTGACTCAGTAAGATTTTTTTTTCCCTCTTTACTAGAGCATATTGGATTGTAGGTATCTAAAAGTAAAAAAGACCAGTTCATTGCGTACTGTATGTCTCCTTGAAGTATTTGTTATTATCTTGACAGACAGAAAATGCAACAGAAGCGTCTTCTGCATCCAACATCAACTATATATGTTGGCTCAATGAATATGGTCAGAAGAACAAGTTAACTATAAAAGCTGTGGAGTCAACAAGACCCGGACCAAATTATGCTACTCTGTAAGCCTCCTAACTGCATCTGCATTCTTAGCTATTTTGTCACAATTTGCAATTGTGCACTAAATGAAAGTTTTTATGCCTTTTAGATGTTGTAAATTCATTGTTGGTGATAAGGAGTATCCAGTTGTCAAAGGGGAAACAAAGAGGGAAGCTAAGGAGGAAGCAGCCAAGCTTGTATATGATATGATACAGGGCGGTAAAACTACAGAGGTAAGTCATACACATTAGTTTCTGCTGACTTAATCATAAAACTTAACACCTGTTGTAGGGTGTTACATACTCAGCAGGCCACATTCCACTGTGTGAACCATCTCAAAATTATACTTTTTGTCTTGTCAAGACTGCAGATGAGAAATTCAACCATACATCAACTCAACCACAGGAGGAATTCAATCAAAATCTTTCTGATATGTGGTGAGTAAATCGCAACGGTGATGCATTGTTAATTTTCATTTCTTCACCAGTGTGAAATGTTACTTGTTTGTTACAGCAATATGACAACAAGCCTCAATAGTAGCTTCAACAACAGCTTTACAGAGACAAATTACATAGGTATTGTCAACCACTACTGCCAGAAAACAAACAGCTCCCATAAATTTATAGAGGAGGAGAGACGCGGCCCGCCTCATAACCCTCAGTGAGTATGAACCCGAACCTCTATAACCTGAATAGAAACTACAGACACACGATGCTGGACTATAAATGTTAACACAATGATCTAAACAAATTACTCTTTTTCAAAACCCAACATAGATTTTTCTACAAATTAGTGATCAATAACAAGGACTACCCTGTGGGTGAGGGTAAGAGCATCAAGGAAGCGAGACAAAATGCAGCTCAGCTGGCCTGGTCTGCTCTTAAAGAGCAGTCAGACTATGACAGCAAGGTATTTGATATTTTCTTCTCCCTTTACATCATGAAATCAAAACTCAGTTTCTAATTTGTTAGGTAGGGGAGAGCCGGGACCACAGTAGTCCACAGTACTTAACAGAACCGGGAAAAATCAGGTGGATATGTCACACTTTCACAGAGTTATACGAAAGAAGCTCTTTTCACTGTGTTTATTGTTTCATGTGCCATGGTCATGATCCCGTGAAAGATTAGTTAGTACTTAAGCACATCCTGAAGTTTTAAATGTCAAAGTTTTACAGTTTAGAAGCTAGTGAAGTTTAATTGTCAGGTGTCACTGTCGTGATGATTGAAACACCTGTTTAATAAACTGGCAGCCAAGCGTATTTTGGTAGATAAGTACAAGTTTCATCGCTGATTCATCCTGATGCTTTTAGTCGGCATCTGTCTTTTAAAATATATGTTTTGAAAGCCTTTTCCATAGGACATTCAAGCAAGCATTTTTAATTAAATTTTTTCCTTCCAGGCAATTTTTTCTGTTGTATGAAATGATTCTACTGAAGTGAAATTTTATATTTAACTATGATGTCTAACATTATGTCATACACTACATTATGTATACCTTTTCTGTGCATTTCAGGTGTCCGTCAGATCAACAGCGTCCGAAGATGGTGCTCGACCTGTGTTTTCAGCACGATCTGCTACACCGTAAGGCACTTAATGTCATTAGTAGGAGAGCAGACTACGGCTTTAAACACTGAGAAAGCTGTACTCATGTCTCTCATTGTATTCCCCTAGGGAGTCCCATGACTCATCACAAAGCACACCAATGAGCAGTGTCTCAATAATATTCACAGATTCATCAAACCGTTCCGCGGCTCAGGTCTGTTCTCTCATAATCGTAAAAAACATTTAGTAGGTAAAGCAAATACTCTTTTAACAGTCTGCAGCAGACTAGTAGCAGGGTCCATATTTGTGTTTAAACATGATGAAAAACTTAAATAGTTTGAGTGAGGAGAAAAATGACATTAAGTAGTTTATATTGTTGGACATTATTTTTCAACATAGCTACAAGAGGGTACTTCATTTTATTCGGAACACTGTAATAATAAACCCCTTTTTTTGTGAATTATAGATGCCCTTCAGTTCAGCTGAGTATGAAGAAGATACACCAACCAGGTTGTCAACACCAACTTCACTGTAAGGCACTTATCGACACTAGTGTTAAACACATAGCTTAATACTGAAAAGCTGTTCTTATGCCTCTTATTATATTCTCCTAGGGAGTCTCTGGCGTCATCACAAGGCATGTCAACGGGCACAAGTGTTAATCTCAAAAGCTTTACTTCAGACTTTGATCCCTTGGGTTGTCTTGGCAAAGGAGCCTTTGGTTGTGTTTACAAAGCAAGACATAAACTGCTGAACAAGTACCGTGCTATAAAGATTGTCTGCTGTGAGGAGTAAGTATACAGGTTCCAGCGTGCAGTGTAGCATGTGCAGTATTTGTGCAAGTACTTTGTTTACAGATTGATTTTTTTTGTTCTCCTTTGGATCAGGAAATCTCTTCGAGAGGTGAGGGCATTATCAGACCTCCTCCACCCTAATATAATTAGATACTACTCAGTTTGGATGGAAGACTCAGGATACCAATGGGACATTTCAACTGGCAGTTCTAGCTCTTCCCGGTAAGTCCCAAGGCACTGACCTTGACCTTACCTTAAGTAAGCAACTTAACTAGTCTTAACTTTTTATTTCAAGTTAATGTTGAGTAATAGTGAGTTATTAAATAATATTGCTCTTCTTACCTTTCCTAGGGCTGCAAATAATTCATTGGCAAAGTACCTCTATATTGAGATGGAGTTATGTGACACCAAAACACTTGGACAGTGGATTAGTGAGAAGAACACTCAGTCTCCACAAGACTGCAAGAGAAGAGAAGAAAGTCTAAGCATTGCTCAACAAATAATTTGTGGAGTCGAATATATTCACTCCAAGAAGCACATCCACAGGGACCTTAAGGTGAGACCAGTTTACCCTGATACCTGCTCCCTGAGACAGATCCTTGTGCAAACCAGTAGTGAGAGGGTGGAGTACCTAGAACCAGTATATTGCTTGGTGCTGACTGGTACAGAGTAGCAGCACCACAGATTAAACCTTTGCTCCTCACAACCATTTACTAAGAGACACATGGATATTTGGCTAGATCCTGCTCCAACAAGCTCCAAGAGTAGTGTAAAGGTGATGCTGTTCTACTGCTTGAAGTGCAGTATATAGTTCAGGACAGCTTAAACTTTTCTTCTTCTGACCAAAATGTTCCACTAATTACGGACTGATCTGACGGACACCTGAAATGCACAGAAAAGGTATACATAATGTAGTGTATGACATAATGTTAGACATCATAGTAAAATATAAAATTTCACTCCAGTGGAATCATTTCATTAAACAAAAAAAAATTGCCTGGAAGGAAAAAATTAAATAAAAAATGCTTGCTTGAATGTCCTATGGAAAAGGCTTTCAAAACATATATTTTAAAAGATAGATGCCTACTAAAAGCATCAGGATGAATCAGCGATGAAACTTGTACTTATCTACCAAAATACGCTTGGCTGCCAGTTTATTAAGTAAACAGGTGTTTCAATCATTACAATTACACCACTACAATTTAATTAATTGACCTAATGCAAGCCATATGCTGACTGTTAGATTTGATGCTGCTTTCATCCACAGATACCTTTTTAAAATCCAGTTCGAACTCTAATTTCATTAGTTCACCTGTTACTGTCCATCGTGTGAGGAGCTTTGTTTGTATCTATTTGTGTTTAGTTTGATTTTCTGTTTTTGCTTTTCAACGGTTAGCCTGACAACATCCTGTTTGGACTGGATGGAGAAGTGAAGATTGGGGACTTTGGTCTGGTCACCAGAGACGATGACAATGCTTTGATGGACAGAACAGTGGGCAGAGGAACCCCAAGTTACATGGCTCCTGAACAAGTGAGATGGTCTTCACTAACAATAACTTTTTTATTCTTCAGTATTATTGTGTTAACAAAAATACTCTTTCAGATACAAAGCAATGTGCACTGTGTTTTCAAAACTTCTTGCGGGACTATACGTCTAGCCATTTGTTTGTTGTTCCAGCTTTCGGTCAGCAACAAATCTGTATCTGTCCCTGTTTGTATTGGCCATGTGGGTATTCGTCACGGCTTGCGCGAGAGCTCCCTAAAGCAAGGCACTGCGGCAGGTTGCGTGTGTGCTTTGGTCAACAAAGCAACAAACCATCCTGGCATGTCGCAGGCAATTGAAAATAATGGCTTTCATAGTGCAGCGGTGCCGTTGTCATTGTTTATGGGGGCCATAATGGGTTTTTAAAAGTTTACATCAAACTAGGGCTGCAGTTATCGATTATTTTTAGCAATAATAAGTAATCTACAGATTAGGGCTGACCTCGAATAGTCGAAGATTCAATACTTCAATGGAGGGAGCGTTTTTAAACAATAACTTGGAATAGACCCGCGACATGCATGTAGTTGTCGGTCACTGCCAGTTGTGTAATCAGGCAGCTGAAATGCTTTTTGGTCAGTACTGTGTTTTTATTCTATCACAGAAGACAGAGAAGACCTATGACCGAAAAGTGGACATATATCCTCTGGGGTTGATATACTTAGAACTCCTTTGGAAACTCTCTTCTGGCCACGAAAGAGGAGAGGTGAGTCTTGCATAAACAGAACATAACATTGTGTGTTATTATCAGAAAAATTAAAGCTTTAATTAATTAAAAAGTGAATTTCAGGTTTACTAACATGCTCTTTTATCCTTTTATCACTCCATGAAATCCAGGTTTTGTGCAATGCCAGGCGTCAGAAGCTGCCGAAGGAGTTTTCACTGACTTTTCCCCAGGAGGTAAATTACTATATTTTTATTACCCAACTGATACACTTGTCACATGAAGCATTATTTCCACCAGGGTGCTAGTTAGTCATAATGGTCGCCAACAGAGCATCAGGGAGACTGACACACGGGGGGTTTGCACTGTACACAGATGTCCATTTTTAAAGCCTCAAAGAACTGCTGCTGTCTGTATGTGAATAACGTATCAAGCAGCACAGATAAAAAGTGTTTTGAGAGAATAACAGTCTCAGTTTAGGTTTCCACTGGTATGCTGAGCAAAGTGCATGGCATATGTTGGAAATACTGTGGAGTGGAGCTTCAGCAATATTGCACATTGACAACATTTATATTATTGTTGGTACAAAGATCTCAGTCACTGTTTCTTTTTGCAGAACAAAATAATTATGTCAATGCTGCGTGAGAAGCCAGAAGACCGACCTGAAGCAAGTACACTGAAGGCAGAGCTGGAGAAGTGGGCTCAGCTGGTCAACACACAAAATATGCAACAGAAGAATCTAACTGTGTGATTATCACAAGGAACTGTGATAAGTCACATGAGCTTTATAGAAATCTGTCTCTTCTGATGTCTGTTACTAAAATTTGATATACACATATTAATATGGTGTTAATGTACTGCACTAACTGCACTATAGTACTTGTTGAGATCTGTACAAAGTGGCCATACGCCTGTGGCCTGTGGCAGTGGTTGGTAGTTTGACGTTCTGTGTTTTGCTCACGTCAACATGTTCACAGGACATCAGATCATTAACCATGCAATTAATAAACAACCTAAAAGGGGATCTAATATTATGGATTTTATAATCATGAAAAGATATACAAAATATATCATGCTTTTAAAAAGTAACTTGCTGTAATTCACATCTATCTAGCTTATGTTCAAAATAATCATGTTTAGGGTAATTTCTGTGTCAACTGGTACCATTTTATTATATGCTGAAAATGGTTAAATGTATTTCAAGTGGTTTCACATTACAGCCTTTGCTTTTTTTACTGTAAAATTTTAAGTTGGAAATTAAAATAATGGTTATCTGGGATAGAGTGGTCATTCATCTACAAAAGTTGCACACACACGCACATATAGACTAGGTGTATGTTTTGTTTTGTTTTCGTGTTCATTAATCATTGGAATCAATAATGCAAATAATAAAACATATTGTAAATGTATTTTTATTTTAATAATATTATAGGACAGAATTCAGTAATAGATTGATGAATTAATAGAATTAGTTGAATTTATGAGAGGCTGCTGGGTAACTAGTGCAGTTTACTTAAAACACTTCCAAACAATTCAGTGGGGAGTGTTAGATACTGAAAAGACAGATTTATGGCAGAGCCTACTTTTAATCTCAATGTAATAAATTGCAAAGATCAACAGAACATCAATGGAAATATTCAGCTTGTGTCAGGCCAATGACACATTCCTCCTTAGTTTTAACTCTGAATAAATAGCAGATCTGCCAGAAAACAGAAACTTTTAAAAAACATTTCCACAAGGGTGACATGGACCTTTATTTGCTATATGAATCATAGGGTCACAAATTGTATGTAACCATAGTTTTCTCAATCCATAGGATAGCCCCTCTTTGTTGGCATGCTTATACACAGTATTTAAATTGTTTGTAAAGTAATACTGTGTATATTGGAACAAGCTATTTTCCAATCAAAGGGACAGACACATTTATCCAAACTGAAATTAATTTGCTGACAAATCAACAGAGCGATCAAATCAGATACTGTTTTCAATGATTTCACATGAAGATCAGGCATATGAAAGTTCCTCACACTACAAATATTTAAATGAGCTATTCTTATCCCTTTTTGTGATGCAGAACATCCCCAGTTTTACCTTTACCAACAAATCTGTATGTGCCATCACTTTCTGAGCTATCACTGCAACACACATAGTAAGACATACATATAACAGTACTTAACAAGGATGAACAATTTTGATGATCAAAAATGAAATGATCAAGAAATGGCAGGACATGTGGGGCATGGATAGTGTTAGGAATGTGGTTTTGTGTTCATGTTTTTCCTGTTTAGTTTGTTTTCATAGGTTTGGTTTTGTGTTCTGTGTTCTGTAAGCTTTATTTTTATCTTGTCATGTTTAGGGTTTTGTAGCTTTATTTAGTCTTTTGCTCATTCGCATGTTTAAGTTCTCTTAGTATTTGTCTTGTCTTTTATCTTAGTTCTTAGTCCTGTGTTTTAGTCCTGTGTTATTGTCCTTTGCCTTAGTACTTAGTCTTATGCCTTAGTTCATGTTTAGTGTTTTTCCTTGTCTGTGTATTTCTGTGTTTTCTTTCGATCTGTGTCTTAGTCCTTAGCCTTATGTCTCAATGTTAGTGTATTCCTGTTCCCCGTTTAGTCCTGTTTCTGTTCCCTGCCCTGGTTTTGTTCAGTTATGCAGATGTTTCCCATTTTTCTGTTTTACTTTGGTAACTCTCTCCTTGTGTGTTTCCATATGCTTTACTTCCTGTGTTATTTTGTAGTGTTCCTGTTCTTATGTGTCCTTGTCTAGCTTTGTTCCTGTTGTTGATTAACTGATGTGTTTTAGCTGTGCTTCTCTCCCTGCCTGTGACGCCCTTGTCAATGTTGGGTGTTCTGCCCTGTACCTGTGTTCCTGGTTTACCATGCTCCTGTTTGGATCTCAGTTCTGGTTTTTGGTTTTTGTTCATTTGTGGATTTTCATTTCCTTTGGATTACTCTTTTGTTTGGACTGTTGCCTTGTGCTTTGGAAAAACTGTTGCAGTAAGTTTTGCTAAAATAAATATTTTTGTTGGACTGAATCCTCCTGCCTGTGTCTGCGTTTGGGTCCACACCTCAGCTCTCTCTACTGCACTCTGCTACTCATGACAGATAGTGGTGGAAGGAAATATTACAGTGTGCAGATATCTATCAGTGCACACAGTGTGATTAGAAGGGTCAGAAGGGAGGAGACAGTTTTAACCAGACCAAGGTTTGACCACACAGGGTTAAGTATATCATTGTTTTTGTTAGATAGAACTCAATCAGATCAATGTTTGGAATGTAAAATCACAGAAAGTGTAGAACATATACTGTTACAAGAGAGGATAAGGCTAAAACAAAAGTCAGCCAGGAAGAACGGTGTACAACAGGAGAGGGGGTAAAGGACAGTTGTGGAATTCCTGAAGGATATAGGGTTATTTTATAGGATTTCTTTTTTTTTAAATAATTATTAATCATAATTATTAGTCTAATGTAAAGTACTCTAACCATAACTCATGCTACAACTCCTTGACCTCCCTGGCTTATTTGTGATTTGTGTTTGTAGACTCAATAGATGTACAGATGTTATTTACCTGCTATATATCCATGTTTATGAATAAAGATCTTTTTATACCGGTGCTGGTCATATAATTATTTAATTTTAATTTATCATATAATTAATTAATTTTTATTTAATTTAATTGTGATGATCAAAACTGACAGCTAATGAAAATCCCAAATTCAGTATCTCCGAAAATTGGATTACTTAAGACCAATACAAAAAAAGGATTTTTAGAAATGTTGGCCAACTGAAAAGTATGAACATGAAAAGTATGAGCATGTGTGGTGTCCGAACAATAATGCTGCGATGATGTGTTGAGAAGAAATCTGCTTGACACTAGTTGGGGCTCCTTTTGCCTGAATTACAGCAGCAATGCGGCGTGGCATGGAGTCGATCAGTCTGTGGCACTGCTCAGGTGTTAATAGAGCCCAGGTTGCTCTGATAGTGGCCTTCAGCTATTCTGCATTGTTGGGTCTGGCGTATCGCATCTTCCTCTTAACAATACCCCATAGATTTTCTATAGGGTTAAGGTCAGGCGAGTTTGCTGGCCAATTAAGAACAGGGATACCATGTTCCTCAAACCAGGTACTGGTAGCTTTGGCACTGTGTGTAGGTGCCAAGTACTGTTGGAAAATGAAATCTGCATCTCCATAAAGTTGGTCAGCAGCAGGAAGCATGCTCTAAAACGGCTGCGTTGACCTTGGACCTCAGAAAACACAGTGGACCAACACCAGCAGATGACATGGCACCCCAAACCCTCACTGACTGTGGAAACTTTACACTGGACTTCAAGCAACATGGATTCTGTGCCTCTCCTCTCTTCCTCCAGACTCTGGGACCTTGATTTCCAAAGGAATTGCAACATTTACTTTCATCAGAGAACATAACTTTGGACCACTCAGCAGCAGTCCAGTCCTTTTTGTCTTTGCGAGACGCTTCTGACGCTGTGTCTTGTTCAAGAGTGGCTTGACACAAAGAATGCGACAGCTGAAACCCATGTCTTGCATACGTCTGTGCGTGGTGGTTCTTGAAGCACTGACTCCAGCTGCAGTCCACTCTTTGTGAATCTCCCCCACATTTTTGAATGGGTTTTGTTTCACAATCCTCTCCAGGGTGCGGTTATCCCTATTGCTTGTACACTTTTTTCTACCACATCTTTTCCTTCCCTTCGCCTCTCTATTAATGTGCGTGGACACAGAGCTTGCCCTCCTTGTACAAGGTGTCAATGGTCATCTTTTGGACAGCTGTCAAGTCAGCAGTCTTCCCCATGATTGTGTAGCCTACAGAACTAGACTGAGAGACCATTTAAAGGCCTTTGTTTAGTCTTCCTTCCTCTTTTGTCATGTTCACAGGGAGAGAACGGAAAATTGGCCAAATAGAAATGTGTCAAGAAGTTGGTGAAGTTACTGATTGGTGCAGGCACGTTTTAGGCTCATTTTATAATCTGTAGCTTGTTTTTTGGGGGGGGGGTTAGCTCAAGTTACTTTTTTTTGAACAGTGCACATTTGTTTCTTCTATATTTTAATTGCATTACAGGTTTTCTTATTGTGCAAATAAACCTTTCTCAAAGCATTTTCATTTGTTAGTTAACTTTTCTTTTTGCAAGTAGCAAAACAGTAGAGTGGACAAAATCAGCCATTTCAAAAAGTGGAGAGAACATGTCCCTAAGTTTAAAAGAGCTTCTGGTTATGTGAGAGGAGGCATGTCCTGCAAGTACATCTGCAGTATCCTATTAATGTATCATTTTCATACAGTTACAATGTTACCTTTGGAGACAGATTGCACAAAAGACCCTCAACAAATAACCAAAGCTTTACAAGTTATGTTCATTTTTGCAATTCTTCAGGGTTAATGCTATACTAAAGTGTGATATTTTCACTCTGTGTTCACCAGCAAGGCTTCATAAATAATAATATTTAAATGTCATTCAAATACCTGGGCATAACAATTGGTACCAATTTCAGTTATAGAGAAAATCCTTCTTCACAGACACTGTCTCACATTGTTTTGTCTTTTATATCATCAGCATCACCCTGAGGGCAGTGATAAATGGTCAAGGCTTTCCCATTGGTGTGAGGAAGAATACAGAGGAAGCCAGGGAGGATGCAGCTAAAAACACCCTAAAGGAGAAGGAAAACCCGCGACCAGTGGTAAGATTATATTTCATCTTTACACTCCCACTTTACTACAGAAAGGAGACATGGTGTGACACTTTACATTATGCATTTATTACTCATTACTTCTTTAAAGCTCCAACAGTATATAATCACTGGCTGTGAGCACAGCTGCTCTGTGTCGCTGTGGTGGCTGAAGCTCAAGTTCAAATCCAAAAACTTTATTGTCTATCACATTATTATAGAAAATTATCTTATCTCTGGCTGTGGATGTGGTTATTGTTTGGCTGCATTGGTGGTTGTATCGATGATGCTTTGAATATGGCTGTGGTAGCTGTACCAGTATTTTTTTTCACTGCTCCTTTTAATATGAGCCAATAAAAGCATTGAAAAACAACACAGGACTTGAACCTGCGGTCCTTCTATCAGATATGACTGATGTGCTACTAATATACTACAGGAGTTCAGGAATACAGTAGCTTTAATGCAATGCTGAGACAGCACAACCATGTTAATTCACTGCACACATACAACCCTTGTATTAGGGCTGGACAATAAAACAATAACAATAATTATCGCGATATAATCTTTTTCAATAACAAGATAAAAAATGTTCAATAAATATTCAATA